AAAGGAACCATGAATGGAATTCCGTTCGGCCCCCCCAATTCCATGTTCAAACGGATTGAAATGGGGGTTGATCAATATTCCGTTCGGCCCCCAAATGCTCATGAATAGTTTTTTTCCACGCAGGAAACATATCATATGTTTAAGTGGCTTCCCCCCATGGTCATCCCATGTCAAGGACCTTTTGACCAACTTTTAAATGTTGTTGCTTGGGGTTTAATGATCGTGCAAGATCACTCTCTTGCTTCAAACGGGGCGCCCCTCCCTATTTTGCCGTTGGCCAGCTGACCATGCTGTTTGTGTGTGTGTGTGTTTCTTTTTTTTTTGGGGGGGGAGGGGGGTGTTCTAGAAAACTGGCGTGATGGCGTGAAAAACCAGGATGCCTGTTCCTGGTCCTGTTTTAGTTCTCTTGTGCTTTTGATACCCAAAGGTGAATGCATAGAAGCCACGTCCAATCCGTTTTCCGGATTTGGAGGCGGACATAGACTGCTGGAGAAGGACTTCAAACGGACCTGCCTCGGTCACCCACGACACGCCAAACACAGGCACCGATAATAGGAGACACACAACTGAAGATATAGTTTGCTCATCATCAGAAGCCCTATGGTTTCATTTCACATGGAGAAGCCGTAAATTGCGTTGCCTGAATGAGGCCTTCTGATCAGCCCACTTCGTATTGGGTCAATTTGTTGTGCCGGACAGACCTAAGAACTTTCCGAGACCACGTCCGCTGTGAAGCTGCGAAGAAAATTGGCAATTTGTGCCATGGTCAAAAATCCTTCTGTTGGCCATTGTCATGGTCTTGTCAGGAATCCTCAACATGGTTGTCTCTCTTTTCTTCCCGATGGGTCCATTGCCATTCCTAGCAACCCCTGGCAAAAGTTGGTATGTTGACCATGGCACATTTGATTGATGGGGCTTGCAGAACTCGCAACCTGACAAAATCCCCTATGTTGCCCCTTCTGACATCACCCCACAAAGAAACTCACTTCAATGGTTGCTGAAAATCACCCAAACCTGGCCCATCTGGGGTACACAACCTGTATATATATATAAATATGCAATTTCTGGCTTTTTTGTCAATCCCCCCAGAAAAAAAGTGGGCTCAGAGACCCCGAGGAGCCACAACAGACCCCCCCCAAACCGGCGGCATAATTACCTCGCTCCGGCTCGAGCGCCCGCACGCTGACCAAGCCAGTGGCCATGGCGGTGGTGGTGGCGATGGCCGGGATGATCTTGCCCGCCGTCATCTTCACCTGAAAATCTGCTCGGCTCGGCCAAAATCGGGCTCCCCCCCGGCCTCAGATCTGCGAACAGTGACCCATTCAACTCACCAAAAGTTAGTCACTTTTAGCTTGGTGGCTCCCAGCCATCCGGTCCCTTAGCTTTTTAGCTTTTTCGTGTTTAGTGGTTGGTTTTCCGTATTTAGTCTTAAGGCTATCTTTTTGGCGAGTTAAATGGAGATAACCAAAATTCGGTGAACCCGAAGATCAAAATTCGGCAAACCCGTCTCCTATCCCCTCCTAACTAGGCTGTCCGTTTTCTGATCCCCCGCTAAAAGTGACTAGCTTGTAGTGGGCTAAATACGGAAAACCAACCACTAAACACGAAAAAGCTAAAAAGCTAAGGGGATGGCTGGGAGCCACCAAGCTGAAAGTGACTAACTTTTGGTGAGTTGAATGGATACAACCAAACATGGACACACCCAAATAGCCTTAAGACTGATTGAAGATTGGGCTGGTGTTCCTGCTGTTTCCCATTAATGTTGACCCATATTAATCAGCCAACCAGTTTATTAATAGGGGGGTGGTTTTTGCCTCTCCCAAAGTAGTCTCATTCCCCACTAAACGCAGGGGTAGCCACTCCCCTATTAATGAACTGGGCTGACTAATGTCGGGTCAACAATAACCCTGCAAAGCCTGCTCTGGTAAAAGGAAACCATCGAACCCTGGCAAATGGTAAGGACTAAGACCTGCGGCCCAGTAGTTTAATCTTGACCCAGTCTGGTGTTTCTTGTGAAGTCTGAGGATATGTCCAAAGCCTGAAATGGGTATGAATTTCAATTAGGGACCCTTTGGTGGATATCATTTAGGTGGGGATCTATGTTGACCAACCATTTTTGAGGGGGCTCCCCACCCAAATAAGAATTGGATCCCCGAAAGGACCTGACGCCGGCCTTCCGAATCTCTTATGCGCACATGAAAGCTCATGCCATGTTAGCCTAGGGCCTGACACGGGAAACAAATAGAGCCACTGGAGATCTAGAGAGAGACATAGACATAGAGAGTCCCCAACTGTCCCTCCCAAATCAAAGGGAAATGCTGACCGAGCAGTCCCTGCAGATTTGTTGGACATTAGCCATACCCAAAACCTTTTCCGGAACCCAATCGCCGGATTAGGTTCTGCGGTTCCGATGAGCTGCTCCCAACATTGGCCCAATGCGCTACGTCATAGGTTCGGATTTCGAACACGCACCAAATGGGTGATTTGGGTTAGCCGTAACCGTGTTCCTTATAGAGCTCCGCTACCGAGCTTTGGGCCTGACTACAACTAGTCATTTGGGGTGGGAAGTGGTCTGCAGGGTCCCTGATAAAACACACAACCCAAACTTGCCATGTCTGCGGTATCAAGTGTACTAGGTGCAAACTTTTCAACATGGTGGGCCAATAGTTGCTGTTGACCCCTGCAAAAAGTGTTCAACTTTTTGTGGGTTCAACGGACAATCCATTATTTCAGCCAACAAGTTAAAGTCCAGAGATCCGTTATCATTAGCGATCAAGAATCTGCCTTGAACAGCCCACCTTGCCTGCGTTCAACAGGACCTGGGCCTATAGGTTGTTGCCCCCTCACGATCCATGAAACTGTCGACTGCTTTGGCTTGATGGCAACTCCGCCCTGCCCAAAAAAAGCCTAACTCTTCGCAGCTTAGTGGGAAAACCGGACGATTTTCCCGAAAAGTGAAAGGCTAAAGATCCAACCCAAGAGCATTCAAGTAAAGAGGAGCCTTCAAAGCGGGTTCCTTTGGCTTGCCGCTCCAAAATAGATACTCCCTCAAGGACAGAGCCCTTCCAAGGGACATGAACTTGGACCCCTCTCCCCCCCAAAAAAGGAAAGGCGCTCCCAAAAGAAAAGTCCGTGTGCGCAAATGATGGTGGGTTGGTGGGTTGGGGTTCATGTTCATCTTAGGGGAGTAGTGCTTGCTGCCATCAACACCGATATTGCGGATATTACACATATGTGTGTTTAACAAACATAGTTTTTGTTGTGTTGTATTGTACCCATATAATTTTGCAATGACTCATATCACAAATTAAGGTCGACAGTCAGAACTTGGTACAAAAGGGGTCTTCCCCAGGCCCAAACAGACCCCGAACATACTCACCCTCCAGCCAACTTAAAGCTGTTTGAAGCTTCTGGAGGTGTCCGGGCTCCCTCCAAAAATGGGTCAAAAATTCGTTTACTAGCCTCCTGCGAGGGAACCCATTGCGGGGTTACCATTTTTGTTGACCCTCTGCCCCCAAGATCTGGTGGCTATGACTTTGTTTGAACCACCTCAAAGTAGTCATGAAGCCCCAAAAGGCCAAAAAGTGCGGGACCCATTGCCCTGTTAAGAACTGACACAAGTGTTCAACAGTTTGTGGGTTCAATACAGAAAACCCATTTGATTTCAACCAAAAAGTCAAAGTTTAAGATCCGTTCCCAACTAGCCATAAATGCAAAAGGGTGTCATTATTTTTGTATGGGGGCCGTGTCCCCAAACTGGCTTCGGTGTTCCTGGCGGTTTCTCAGTGTCTCTCCCCTGCTAAAAGTTTAACTTTTAGTGGTTTTAATACGGAAAACCCATTAGTTGGCAAGAAGTTGTTCAGTCCTAACATCCAAGCGCAAAATGCGCCAAAGGTGTCCCTTCAAGATAGGGACCTCTGACATCCTGGCCTTATGAAAGTCAGCCTCCGGGATCTTGTAATTGCGCGCTCGCCTCGGAAAGCGCGCAATCGGACGCCGTGTCTTTGAGGTGTGAGCTGATACCCCTGGGTTGCGTTGAAGACAAAGGAAACACCACCCTTTTTGTGAGGCAAACGAGGAGGAGCCCTACCTTTTAAGCGTTGCTGAAGCCAATCGAGAGAAATCACCCATTTGGGGCGAGGGGGGAAAATCACCCGTGGGGATTGCTCCATTTAGAAGCAAGCTCGTGCAACGATTGTGGGCGAGCCCGGAGGGTGAATTCTTGCCCAGCACATATGGAGGGAAAACCACAAATGCAGGAAAGGAAATGCGGTTGCCCTAAATAAATAGTTCATGTATGGGAGGGCCCCTAAGGCCACATTTCAGCTATAGATCATTCGGGTCGTATTTGTTTGACGCCAACCAAAAGAGAAGCGTTATTGCACGATCCACAAAAGCAGTTGTCTAATTGTCTAATAGCTGGTAGAATGAGATGATGTTACATTGAGCTCGTCTCTAACACCGACATTGTTTTGACACATCTTGCCACTCTCGCGAAGGACGCACTGCAGCCAGTGGATCCGAAAACCGTCCACCCGGCCGACGCTCATTAAACACCATAATTGTTGACGGATGAGCACAGCGCCCACAAGTCAATGAGATAAACTACTTGTTTCTATCGGACGATTGGCGGGGAAACATGTTTTTTCTAGGAATGTATTCCAAATTCTTTTCAGCCATCATTCTTTTGAAAAACCGATCGCCATTTCCCCAAATTTTTTGGTGGTTTTCTAGAAAGAAGGATCCCTGCAAAGAATGGAAATGGACGTTACCCCTAGATTTTTGTCAACAGTCTTTACGGCTTGGGGTCCAACAAGTGTGAAGGTGCGGACTGAAACATCACTGGGCTTTATGAAGGTTCCGTCCGTGAAACTAATTGACGGGCGCAAATTGCAGCCCCTACTTGTTGCGTAATTGTTTCACGTGTCCTTCTTTTGAGAAGCCCCTTCACTTCCCACAATTGTTCGCCTGTTTCCTGAGAACATTGATCTTCTAGGTTTTTGAGTAGAGAGGTTAGAATCAGGGTGCCAACTTTTTTCTGTAGTCTATTTTAGCAGACAAACCCTCCCCCCAAGAAAGAAACGGGCGAGAAAGGGCACCAATTGCTGGGGGACCTAGTCTCTGAGAAGACTCGCCGCCGAGTCGCCCGGTAGTTGGAACTCTTTGGGGTCGATGAGAATTGGTCGTGGGGATGCCACCGGCCAAACGCTTCAAGGGTGTCCCTCTAGGCTGTCCCCCCCGCTAAAAGTGACGAACTTTTAGTGGGCGAAATACGGAAAACCCACCACTAAACACTAAAAAGCTAAACAGCTAAGGAACCGGATGGCTGGTTGAGCCGCCAAGACAACTGCACCGAAACCAACAGCCACAGTACAACCGTGCTATTCGCCTTTCCGGTAGCTGAGCACATCGCAAGTTCGCAGCAGCGGCGATGAATTGAATGTGGAAGTTGGAGTCATCGTCCTGTGACAGGCACAATGGATCTCACTTGCCCCTTCGGGACCTGCATGGAAATAAAAGGTGATCGCCTTTTGGGACCTCTAACCAAAATGGGAACTCGAAAAGGGAAAACCAATCAGGTCAAAAGGTCGATTCGCTTTGAACAGCTTAAGGATGCATGTTTGCCACGTTGAACTGTCATATTTAACAGCGGATTTGGAGCATCTTGCGAAACACGCGGTTTCGCGCTGTATCTTTTCGGGGATTCCCGTCACTGCTTCTGGAGCGCATGGGGAAGCGGGCAACCCAAGCTGGGAATCTACAAATGGAATCGACATGGGGCACCCAAAGTTGTTGAACACGGACCCCTTTCCAGGAGGTTTAGGTGAACCGGGTTCTCGAGGGAATGAGCCCTACAAACCAGCCCCTAGGGTTGCCTTTTAAGCGAACCCCTAGCTTTATTCCCAAGAACCCGGAAGGTCAGTCCCTACTGAGGTTCACTCCCTTAGCATCACAGACATTCGCAAGCCAAAATGGTTTTTCCCATGCCGTCTCTCCCACCGAGAAATGTCCCTTTTGGTGAAATTCGGCAAGCGCGATCAGCAAGCTTGGCAGGCAGTCTCGTACTTTTGAACGCCAGCTCAACTGCCGCAATCTACCCGTTGCCGAAGGAAAACACAAACCCAATGAGCCATCTTGGGACACGTGCCTTTATAATGACCACTCAACCTGTGCTTGTTTCATTGCCCCTAAATCAAGCACTAATGCAGACATATACAGACCTCCGGCCAGGGCAAAAACAAGGAAATAAGCTCAGGTGACATCCCCATCAGCATGCGGTGCTCGTTTTAGTGCTCGCACCACCTCGCAGAACCTCGTGGAACACTCGTGGAACCCAGGTGGAACCCTTGTGGAACCTTCCCTCAGGGCCGCCCCGGACCACCCCGGAGCCTATCTGGGCTGAGACCCCAAAGCTTTGTTGGGGAAAAACGCCCCACACAAAAAAAACCCAACAAAAAACAAACAAAAACGATAGGGCACAACGGAAATGCATCTCCCATCACTGGACTTCCCCGAAAAAAGTTGATCAATGTACCGGTGGTTTCCATTGCAAGGATCGCTGCTTTTGGAGGTTCCCAAAACGGAGGAAACCCTGCTGGATGTTCTTAAAAGTTGCGAATGACTGACAGATTTTCTTTTGGAGGTCCAACAAAGAGATCAAATGGAACAATTGCTACTTTTGTAGGTTCCAAACAGCGGAAATAGAGGAAACGTTGAGAACGCCCACGTCCAAATCAAGACATAGTCCTCAGGTCCCTGCTGAAAGTAAAAAAACACTGAGCGGGCGAAATACGGAATCCCAACCACTAAACCCATAAACAACTGCTAAAAACCCAGGTTGAACCGGATGGCTGGGAACCGCCAAATTCATGTTGACCCCATATTGATCAACCCCGGTTTTGTTTATAGAGGGGGGTGTCCCTGTGTTTAGTGGAAAATCAGACCACTCTTGGGGCCAAAACCACCCCGCAAATGAACAAACTGGGGAAGGGAGCCCCAAACCCTGGACCTTCAAACCCTGGGGGTTTGAAATTGAAGACTATAGGGCACCACCTCTGTCTTTGAGCAGAAAAAAAAGCGGAGCAAAAACAAAAGGTATCCCTGGAAGGTCCACAACAAAAAATCCAAGCCGAGGCCTTCTCGAACTCGGCCGGCTGCAGGTCTGCTTTGGACTGGCAAAGGCAACGCCGACGATCGGCGGAACCAAAACAAAAAAACTCACTGGCTGAGTGGATGGCCCAAACAAGTCCGAACCTTTTTTGACCACTGAAATGGTCCAAACCCAAAAAGCTTGAAGCTCATGAACTCAGCAAGTGAGAGAAGAAAAAAAACCGGGCCGGTTGCTCCAGGTTCGCTTTTGGTGCCCCCTTGACCAAACATGAGCAAAACATAAGCCGAAGCCAGGAGCATCTGGGTAAACGAAAAAAAAAACAGCTGCCCCTCACAGGTGACCAGGGGAACCGCCTGCAAAAATACCTACCACCTTTGCCCTGCCACCTTTTTGGATAAAGGGGAAATTACCACAAACCCCTAGAAAGCAAAAAACCTAAGTTGAGCCCGATGGATGGTTGAACCACCAAGTGATGTAAACAAAACATGTGAAACTACTAAGAAGCCAAGCAGGCTGCGGAAAATCATCACACCATCCATGCCCTTTTGGCTTTCAGCAAAAAAACTGCAAAAAGAAACCCCGTCCAAAAAAAACTCATTTGGGTTTAGGGGAAACTACCACCACCTACATGTTCGAAAAGGAAAGAACAAAAACAAGTGATGTGAAAATACTCTGAAGCCTGTCCTTAGATACAAAAAACTTCGGAGCTTTCGCAGGGATCCTACATTATACACCTGAACATTGCCTTGTTTTCTGGTGTCCAACTTTATTTTGGTGTTGAAAAAGCAACGTGCTTCAAAAGGTTGCAAAGTGAATTTCTTTTAAGGAGCCCTGTCTCGGCCAGCGGGCCCTCTCCCGATTCGCCTTGGCGGCCTTGCCCTTCTCGGCCATCTCCGCCATCAGGCGCCGCGCCTCGGGAAGCGCCCGTGGGTGTCTTCAAGAGGGTTGGCTTTAAAAGGGAAGCCAAAGGGAAATTCGCATAGTTGTATATATATATATATACGTATGTATATATATATGTATATATATATATATTTGGGGGGGGGCTATATTTTATATATAAATATATTTGGGGGGTGGACACTGTTTTTTTAGGGGTACCCTGTGTGTTTGTCTGAGAGAACTCTTTTTTTTTAAACGTGGCTTAAGGGAAACCAAAAGAAAAACAGCAATTTCTAGGGTTAACTAAACACGACATTGACATGCTCTCAACACCCTTTTTGGATAGCACTTAAAGGGAATTCACAGGACACCGTTGCCATCTTTGGGTGTTTTCAACAACACTCCCATGCTTTACGACACAAACAGCTAAGTATCTACAATTCACAATCTGGAAATGAGCAATGCCCTTTCTCAGTTTCTGAGTGGATTGGTCAAACAAGTCCCAACTTGTTGTTTGCCACTGAACTGGTCCAAGCCCAAAGAGTGACTCAAGTCCAGGAACTTGGGGAGTGACTTTTTTTCGGGCAACCAGCCTAAAAAACATCGTCTTTTACTGGCTCTTTGGACTTTTGACTCAGTTGTTCAGTGACCCTGGGAAAAAATGGGAACCCTTTTTTGGGCTTGGACCATTTTAGTGGCGCAGCCACAAAAAAAAAGGGAAAACGAATTGGGGCCACTGAACAACTGAGTTGAAGTGAGCTGTGGGACTTTTGTCACTTGAGCACCGGCGCAGGTGACGGTCCAAGCGCTGGGGCTCTGGGGCCCTGTGCCGCCTCGTCGTCGTCCATACAGCCCTCACCGGTGGTATCCTGAAAGATTTCGGCGCTTCCGATCCAAAACCCCGGGGTCTCTGGCTGAGCCAGTTGATCCTGAAGCAACTTTGCTGGACGGTGCGTGTGTTTTTTGTTCTTCTTTTTCTGTTATATATATATAATATATATCTATATATATATATATAATGTGTTTCTTCTTTTTCGGATCCCCTGCTCAAGTGACGAACTTGCGGGTGAAAAATACGGAATCCCAACCACCAAACCAACCAACAACTGAAATCCTAAGGAAACGGATTGCTGGTTGAACCACCCAGTTCCCCAAACATAGGAACTGCACTTCAGGTAACCCGTAGTTGGGAACCACCAAGCTTAGTACGGGTTTTATAGTAGAGAAAGCAGTTTGCAACGCGTCAGACCTGAGAACTTGGACACAAAGCTCCTGAAGTCCTAGGTCCTCCAGAGAGGTTTGAAGAAGGGTACCAACTTTTTCCTGTAGTCTATTTTAGTAGGGGAACCCTCCCAACCCAAAAAAGAAACGGGTGAGAGGTCGGGCACCAATTGCTGGGGGACCTAGACAAAGCTTCCTCAACCCTCCGTGCTGCGAGCCTCACAAAAAATGGAAGGGTCCTGTTGCAGGGATCCTTACCTCCGATCCAGGATGGCGGCGGTTTTTGGTGCCAGATGGTTCATGCCTCCGATCAAAAAAACGTCGACCAGTGCAACCAACTAAGCAACTGGAGCGTAACAGGGATCCTTACATTATACACCTGAACATTGCCTTGTAAATGGTGGTTTCCCTTTATTTTGGTGTTGAAAAAGCCATGTTTCAAATGGTTGCAAAATGTATCTTTTAAGGAGCCCTGTGTTGGTTCCGTAGAGACCCAAAAACAAGGTCTCAGCCTATGACAAGGCAAACGAATCCGAAAGTGACATGTTCGAAATTACCCAAATGGTTGCTGATATCCCATCGCCCCGGCCCCTTCAGTGAGGGGGTTTGCCTAGAAATAGCCCCAAAAGGAAACCCACGCGCCCCTGACAGACCCAACTCGTCGCTAGCCCCTATTGGCATCGGGGTGGGGAGGGGGGCCCAATAGGGCGGAGGATGAACAGGAAGCATACCACGAAACTTTCGAATAACCATCAACATGTTCACTTTGATGGACCCAGTCAGTTGCTTGTCAGTCTGTTGCAAACTGCAATCCCCTCAAGCCCACAAAGGCTCATCCCAATATGTTTACAAAAACAAACAAACAACAAACGCCCGGCTGCTGGGCTGTCCTCGGATCTCCTGCTAAAAGTTTAAGTTGTAGTGGGGTAAGAACGGACACCCAGGCACTAAGCCAACCCAACAATCAACTACAAGCCTAAAGCTCAGCCAGAGTTCCTCTGCAGCCAGAGTTTAATGCAACGACTAGGGTCCTTGAAAATAATATGCATAAACTGCTCCCCGCATGTTGTCCACCAAGTGCTAATGGCCTTGGGGCCCAATTTGGATGATGACAATCCTGAACGGTAGACAGCATAGTTTTAAGGGTGGCAACTGAACCCAAGGGTAAAAGCCTAAGTTGGACCGGATGGCTAGTGGCTAGAGGCCCGAGACCAACAGCCCTTCCGCTCCTTGTCGTCCACCTTGATCTTCATCTCCCGAGGCTTAAACTCCTGGACCTGCACGCAAGAAGGGTGGGTGGGTGGGTGGGTGGGGTGGGGTGGGGTGGGGTGGGGTGGGGTGGGGTGGGGTGCGGTGCGGTGCGGTGCGGTGGGGTGGGGTGGGGTGGGGTGGGGTGGGGTGGGGTGGGGGGGTGGGGTGGGGTGGGTGGGGTGGGGTGGGGTGGGGTGGGGTGTGGTGGTGGTGGGTGGGTGGGTGGGTGGGTGGTGGGTGGGTGGGTGGGTGGGTGGGTGGGGGTGGGTGGGTGGGTGGGTGGGTGGGTGGGTGGGGGTGGGTGGGGGGGTGGGTGGGTGGGTGGGTGGGTGGGGGGGTGGTGTGGGTGGGTGGGTGGGTGGGTGGGTGGGGGTGGGTGGGTGGTGGGTGGGTGGTGGGTGGGTGGGGGTGGGTGGTGGTGGGTGGGTGGGTGGGGGTGGGTGGGTGGGTGGGTGGGTGGGTGGGTGGGTGGGTGGGTGGGTGGGTGGGTGGGTGGGTGGTGGGTGGGTGGGTGGGTGGGTGGTGGGTGGTGGGTGGTGGGTGGGTGGGTGGGTGGGTGGGTGGTGGGTGGGTGGGGTGGTGGGTGGGTGGTGGGTGGTGGGTGGGTGGGTGGGTGGGTGGGTGGGTGGGTGGGTGGGTGAATGGGTGGGTGGGTGGGTGGGTGGGTGGGTGGGTGGGTGGGTGGGTGGGTAGGTTTTGTTGTTCTTTGAGGCTACCCGTGTTGGATACTTTATTTGAAGCCAAAAGGAAACCACCGGCTTGCGGGGGTTCCAACCGATTTTGGGGGTTCCACCTGCACGCGTCTGGCAAAAACATGCACCTTTTGGAAAAAATATTCAAAGTGGACATCTACGTGACCACTTTGCAACTTAGAAGTCCATTGGTATCAAAAGTTTTCCAGGTCGTTTTAAAGGACACCAAAGGAACATCCACCGTGGAGAGTCGCCTGGTGTTTCCTCACAACATAGATGTCCTTTTTCTGGTTGATTGAAAGGGGAAACCCAAAAGGAAACCACTACTTCTGAGCAACAAACATGCGTCGTTTCCTCGTAGCTTCTTTTAAGAGCGGGGAGTCTGAATCCCATTTTGGGAAACTGGAACCCCCCTACTCCAAATACCCTCCGGTCTTTTGTATTTTTTTGGAAAACCTGGCTTGCTAGCGTAAATACCTCGATTTTTAGTAAGCACCCCGGAACCTCCCCCCCAAACAAAAGAACAACAAATACAACCCCCCGTTTTTTTGGGGTAAAGGGTCGACCTCCCTTCCGAACCCTACCAAACAAAGAGGCACCCTGTTGCACCGTGGTTCCAACCATGGGGTCTGGAACACTGCCCCAACAACAAGAAACAAAAACAACACCTGCCTTGGAAGAAACGGGTCGACCTCCCTTCCCTAAACCAAACAAAATGCGATTGTGGTTCCAACCAAAAACCAGAATGCATGCTCAAATACCCGGTGGCCAGGGGAAAAAAATGGCATCCTTTTTTGGTTGGCTGCGTTTAAAGGGAGGCCTTCCCCCAAAAAAAAGCGGAGGAAAAAAACAAAAACGGGCACCACTAGGGCGCAGGGAGGCCTTGACTGCCGCGGCCATCTGAGTCACTTGACCGCGGTCGCGGTTCTGGGTGAGACCTGCGCAGTTGGGATGGTGTCAGCTGACCAACTCCAAGTTCTCCAAAAGGACTCGTTTGGGGGTCCCGTCTCGTTTGGGGGACATGGCTCTCGTTTAGGTCCCATGTTTGGGGACTCAATTTTCCATGGGGAATTTCATGCGTGTTTTCTTTCTCGGGCCGGGGCCGGGCCGGAGCCGTGGAGCCTTGGGACCAAGTGAACAATAGACTACAAATCATGTTGTCAGTTGCTCACACAATTTGAGCGACCTGACTCTGCTCCAGTCTGATTGCCATTTTTTTTGAACAAAAACATATAAGACATGGCTATCGGTGTAAGAGTTGGCACCACCCGAAAAGTGGTAGGTGGACAAACGACTCCCAAGGTGCCGCCTTTCTTGTTTTGAAGGGAAACCGAGCTGTAGACGAAGAGCGCAACTCGGCAAATCCATCTCCAGGTTTGTCTCGTGGGTTGGGTCCCCGACCACCCAAAATTTAGGTTCTTTCCCTTTGATTTTTCTGGAACACTGCAAAATCTTGGTTGCTTTTTGCCCCCCTGCAAAAAGTTTAACTCTTTGGGGGTTTAGTGGAAAACCCCTTGATCTCCCAAAAACTTAAAGTCTACAGATCTAACCCAATAGCAGTCAAGAAATCAGCTTCCCACGGAATTGGTTTGGATTCGGATGTCAAGCCCTGTTTCTGGAGGGTACATGAAATGGACACGCCACTCCTGGTGGATTTGGATTTGAAGCCCTTGTTCTTGTCGATAATGGGACACCACCCTCGGAACACTACATCAAACCATCGATTTAGCTCCAAAGCACCGACTAGGGGGAAGCTGCAGGATTTTTAAATGAACTTATTCCCTCTTAAAAACACAACTTTTCAACTTTTTGGGTAACATGGGCTATATTATATGTATGTAAAAGATTAACTTCCCCAGGGCTTGGAGTTTTAAGGGGTAAGTATTTTGACATGTGACATGCATTCGACAAGCCATGTGGGTTGTGGCTGGACTTGGCTTCGCAGAGCGCTTTGCCGAGGCGACTATGCTGTGACTTCCACTCCAAACCACTCCTTAACCTCCATTTGCTTAAGTCCTCTGGAGAAAAAACAGTAGCGATAGATTCCCTTTAAAACCAACAGGGGAAAAACAAAAAAAACATGTTTTTCCCAGGCAAATGGAAGACAAGTTAGAGGGAAACACAGAAAGGAGGCTGCCCTTAGCCCCATATTCCAAGTGGAAGCCTCATGGCGGAAATTGTGCCAAGGCTTTTTCTGTCCACTCCAAGCTGAGAACCTTGGTGGGTTTAGAGTAAGTCTCACCCAACATCCGGATCCTCTCTAAAACAAAACATGCCCCCATAAGCAAAGGGGATTTTACTTCAATCCCTTGTGGTTTCTTGTAAGGTACTCCCCTTGCGGTTGCTCATTCCCAACACCCGGAAGGGTCATTCGCTACCTATCGCAGCAAGCTGATAGATTCGCTCCATTATTCCACAGTTCTCAACTTGAGGTCTCAGGGTCTCAAACCCTTGTCCATTTTCCCCCGGGAATTCCACACCGCCCAGGCTTAGGTTTTCTGGAAACGCCCCTTTGTTCCCCCCAAAAAGGCTGGGTCCAAAACTCGGCTCTCGGGCCCAAGATGGCTGCATAGAGATTCGCCGCCGCCATGACGAAGTCTATGTGCAGCTCATCTTTCAGGTCGAACTGGCCATCCGAAAAAAAAAATCCCAGATGCCCGGCGGAAAACCATGGGGAAAACAAAACAACAACGGCTCTCTTTCTCTTGGTTGAGTTGCAGGTTGGAAACCCCTCCAAAACAAAGTTGGAAGACATATCTTCTTTAGCTGGTCGAGTTGGGAATCGGACACCCCTCCGAAACCAAGTTGCAAGGGGCGGAATCCGGTTGCAACTACCTTCGTTCCCAGTGGGCCGTGTGAGGTACTTGACCCACATGGGGTCGACATGAACTCGATCTGCACTTACAACTCCAAAACCTGAAAGGGATCCCCAAGGACCGGCGAGCCTCACCAAACCTGCAGCAACCTAACATTCACAGATTTATGGTTCCATTGTTCTAGGGGAAGCCAAACCCAAGACCTGTCATTAAGGCTCCTGTGTCTGCTGAAGCCCCGCATGTTCGTGTCGACCCAGGCTTAATCAACCTGCTGTATTTTTTGGGGCTGTGCCCACAAAAGAAGTCAAGGTAGTCATACTGCACGCGGTGAAACAACTAGAATTTGGACCCCTTTAATTAGAATCACTAGTATATAGACGCATAGATATATATATATATATGTATATATATATATGTATATATATATATATTAATATCATGTTCTATGCTATAGTGATGATTTGGGTGCGTCTGCATCTTAATGTCTTTTTTGTTTTTCTTTTTGTTATTTTTTTTCTTCGCGGGAAACCAAAGGGGCACTTACCATTTTTGCCAAGGAGGTCCCCATGAAAAGCCACCAGTATCTCATTTACCCCCCCCCCTTGTCCCCGCGGTCCATCGCCTTGATGGGCGCGGGGGGCCGCTTCGGTCCGCTCCAGAACTTGGCTCCCTCAGAGGTGACCTGCACCGGTGGCCACTCCAAGCCGTCAGCCCCGCGCGTTTGATGTGGTCTGCAAGTTTGGAAGGCTCCGATTCCTGGGCCGAGATTTCGGATGAAAGCTTCTTTGGCCAATTTGGGGTGAAGGATGTTCATGCTTGGGAAGGGACTGGCAAAACAAGATGCCTTCCTAACCGAGTAACTGTCCCCATGGTTATAACCCAAGTGGGTTGAACATACAAGTACCCCGTCCGCGTTGCCATGGAATTTGATGTTTTGGGGTGGAAGATGATTTCCCTTTAAAAAAGCCCTCTGGTGGTTCCATGTTGGTGGAGGGCAAGCCGCACTGCACCAGAAAACTAAACAAGGGTGTTCCACGAAAATCAACCCCAAAAACTAACACATCGACACATCTGTGAAACATCATAAACAACACCCAAACCAACTAAAGAAGGTGGTTCCAAACATAACAGAGGTCTGCGAGTGACCATATCAAATAGCCCCACGAATCGGTTGACAAAAAAAATAGTCACACAAGTTGGCAAGCAAAGCTTCACCATAGGGCAAATATTCGCTAGACAAAGGGCCAAACAAGTCGCTGGGGCAAGATAGCTGCCGAATAAAGATCAAGAAAAACCAGCGACCCGCCCAAACGGCTTTCAGGCTTCCTCTACAGGGAGTGGTTTTGGGGGGAACGTTTTCAGCCACGATTTTGCTGGAGAACAGGCTTCCCACACCCCAGGTTCATCCATAGGGTGCCTCATCACAGGTCACTGGATTTTTTTCGGGAAAAGTGGCAGTTCAACTGATGGGTTCCCAACAAAACGCCACTTGTCGGAGGTCCAAAAGAGGGACTTTGAGGGGCCCATTCCCAGTAAGACGCTGGGAACACCACGATCTATCCGCCAGGTTCTACTTAGATCCTCAGATGCCCAGTGGCCATGGGAAAAACGGGCATCCTTTCTTGTTGGTTGAGTTTAAAGGGGAACCCTTACCCCCAAAAAAAAACAGTTGGCGCCACTGGGCAACAAAGGATCAGTCATCAGATGATTCGCACTAAGTTCTTGGCGTGCTCCAATGGAAAGGTGTAGAGCAGCTGCACAATGGAGTCATGAAACCTGAGAGCAGGCGGGTGTTCTAGGGGTACCTTCCCCATGAGGAAGCTCTAGGGGTCCCGGTGAGGAACCCTACCAAAGCTCTAGCGGTACCTTCCCCATTCTTTGGCATCCTTTCTACAAAAACCACCCAAAACCTTGGGGAAACATCTGGTTTTTGAAAAGAACGATGGTTGAAAAGAATGGGGAATCACCCCCTAGAGTTGTGCCCGGTTCAGACAAGAGCTTTCCTCTAGTTTTCTTGGTTTCATCCCCCTCCCTTAAGGGGCGTGGGGGGTCCCCAATTCCCCAATTCCACTTGTCTAGTCTTCCCAATGAAAGGGAAAATGGCAAATCTGGTCCCCGCCCTCCAGACCAATCTCCCCGTGCCAAAAACTTTGGGGGGCGATAAGCCTTAAGGCCACATAGAACAAATACGTCCGAGGACTGTCAAATCCCTGGTGTCTTGGTGATGGGTAAAGGCATCATTTCAATAATCCTTGACACCAAAAAACAAACAGTGAACACCTTGGTCGAAATCCGTGCCCTGAAGACTTGTGCGTGGTAGGGAATATAAAGTAAACCTTCCTTCCCTTCTGTGATCCGTTCGTGTTCAGTCCGGGCGCATTGCTCTCGCAAAAACTGAAACACATGTCATTTGCGTCTGCCTTAAACGAATACGTCGGCCTTTTGCACCAGCAGTTCGCCTTCCTTAGCGGCCTGTGTTGACCCCTGGTGAAACAGTTTCCGCCCTTATGTAGATAGAATAGATATAGCCCTTGCCAAACGAGGAACGCCTACCAAAACAAGGTAAGGGCCAAAAGGGTGCCGAATGGGCGCCAGAAACGGGCAGGAACACCAAAAACACGAGCGATTGCCTTTGGTTTGTCGGCAGGCTTCTCTTTTGTTTCCGGCCCCGTACAACTGACCAAGCAACTGCCTTTCATGTTCCGAGCAAGCCTGAAAAAGCCGCTAAGGAAATGGATCTGTGGGTGGTTCTTCTGCCTAGGAGGTTCCTCCGAATTCGAAGTTACTGGAGGAAAGTGCCCTGTCCGTTTTCAGATCCCCTAACAGTGACTAACTGGTGGGTTAAATACGGAAACCCAACCACTAAACCAACTAAAAAGCGCAACAAGGCTGGAAGCCTCCAGGGCTATTGGGGGTGATTGGCTATGCCCAGCATAATCCAAGGATACTTAATACGGCCATATGGCTATGAATTTCAATAAGGGACCCTTTGGTGGACATCATTTAGGTGGGGATTCATGTCCACCAATCACTTTTGAGGTGGTTCCTTATTGAAATTCATGGCCATTTAGCCCCCACTGCCCAGAACCACCAAGTGGCGTCCCCATTTTAAGGCGTCCCCTTGGTGGGGATTCAGACCACTGGAGGAGACATCCTGTCCATAGCGCCAAGATTGAGGGTCCACAAGCTTAGAGACCAACTTTTCGACCGCACGGCACCTGGAAATAAAAAAGCTGATCACCTTTTGGGACCTCTACCAAAAATGGGAACCCAGAAAGGGAAAACCAGAAGGTCATTTATGAGGCACAATCAAAACCCGGGTAGATGAAGGTTAGTAAGGGGCAGTCCCAGCCAGAAATAGTTGCGGATATCCGCCTTCTTAATTCTTTACATGCTTCTGGGATTACGACCATTTTACTACCGGGTTTTGCTTGTGACTCGTTTCAGGTCGAGTCGCTTTGAACAACTGCTTGGTTGCTTTCTGCTCCCCTGCTAAAAGTTCAGCTGTTAGTGGGTTTAATTCGGAAAACTCACAAAAAAGTGAAAGTCCTAACATCCTTCCATGTGCTTAAGCCCTCTGAAAAAATGAAGAAAAATCCAGTAGTGATAGATTCCGTTTAAAACTAAAAGGGGAATAACACTTCTTCTTAAGCAGATGGAAGCATCCCCGCAAAATGCACCACAGACTGAGTGGAGCGACCCAGTTTTCTGGGCTTCCGGCTTCTCCTGGAACTCCTGCACCGCATACTCCACGCAAGCGTCGAAGGCACCGTCCGCGCGCTGAGAGAGCGAGAGCGGGGGACGCGGGGACGTGGACGTCGCGCCAAGGACGAAAGGAACACCGGGGAGTGGCGTGTTTCCAGAATGTTGCATCTGCGATGCAGGTGCTGTAAAACTGTTCTTCTTGTTTCTTTTTGAGTGTTGGTTGGTTTTGTGTCTGTTGTGCTTCTACCCGTTGCTTGTGGTTGTGCTTTTGCGCGGCTTTCCGCTTCTTGGTTTGCCTACCTGTGTCGTTTTGCTTTTTTTGGGGGGTCCAAGGGGTAGTAGCTTTCCCTTCAGTCGTGAAACCCGAACCTAGGATTTAAATGTTTTGTTTCTTCATCATTGTCAAGGGCCAAGATGTAAGATGGTTTCAAGCATTGGCTCAGCCCCTGCCTCCACGCCTCCCCGCCCGAAGTGCATTTGCCCAAGTTCAAGCCAAGCTACCCAACAAAACTAAGTCTGAACCAGACAAAGTCGGCTACCACTAAAATGGTCTACTCAAAAGGCTTAAAGTCCAGGAGCTCAGGTGGTGAGTTGTCTTGACAATGCGCGCGCGACAAGCCACCAGCCCCTGCCCAGCTCCCGACAACCCTCAACCCCACAACCCTCCCCAACCCTCAACCCCCCAGCCCCCTCACCCTCACTCCACCCCCAACCCATCCCTCACATGAGTTCTCAAGGCTCTGTTGAGCGACTCCAGTCGATCCGCAGCCTCAGGCGCAAATTCAATTGCCGCAGCGATCAAGGCATACCCCGCACGCTTGCGGAGAGAATCCTCTCTCGTGAACATGACCAGCGAGTGGACTGCACTTTTGTGAACAAGCAAGCCGCGCTGCAACCCGCCGTAGCCATCGGCGGGAGTTCAATGATGCGCACCTGAGCAGCATTCTGCCAACGGAAGGCTGTCGAGGCAATGATCTGATAGAATGGTTCAACCTTGGCAATGCAGCCAAGCTCGGCCATCAGAGCCGCTGTGAGTCCAGCCATATCATCTACCCCCCAGCAACCCCAACCCCACCCAACCCCACCCCCCCCACCCCCCCCAACCCCCAGCAACCCCCCAAACCCCAACCCCACCCAACCCCACCCCACCCCACCAACCCCACCCAACCCCACCATCGCCACCCACCTTCTCCATCCCCCCAACCCCATCCAACCCCACACCCAACCCCCCCCAACCAACCCAACCCCACCAACCCCATCCAACCCCCCCACCCAACCCCACCCCCCCCAACCCACCCCCCAGCAACCCCCCCCCAACGCTGCAGGATGTGAACGACCTCCACGGCCCTCCGGTTGCCCAAGCCAGGAAAAGTGCACCCACACACGCCGCGCCTGCCCAGGCACTTTGTCTGCTCAGCGTGAAACGCATGGTGCCAGTCACTGATTTGCGCATTGGTTGTTGACTTCAACTTCAGCATCACACTCAGGAGTTTGTCGCTGTTCAGCGAGGACAGTCATGTCGTAAAAGGCATTCCACATCCGAGGCGCGCTTGCGTCGTCACAGGCCATAGCTTGCGCTGGGCAATTTTGAGCGAGCAGCAAGGCCTGTTGGCGATTTCGCGTGCGAAGCTATTGCTTTTCGGCGCTTCACTGTGTCGTTCCTGAAGGCGTCTCAAATCCTGCTGCTGCCAAAACTGCCGCGGCCGGAGTGAGACACTGAGACGCCGGCCAAGGGTTTTTCCATGGGGTTCATGAGCTCAAGGGGTGCTCAAACTTGGTGGTTGCCCTCCTGACTACGTCTGTGCTGCATTATGTGCGTGACGTAGCACCTGCTGCAAACCTGTCTAGCCTATACTGCCTGCGTGCTGTGAGACATAATCTGAAGCAAGACTGTGTACTCACTGCAAGGCCCATACGCGCTATGCACCCTGCGCGCCTGGTGTGCCGGCGTGATGAAACAGGTGTCAATATACTCGTACTGCCTGCAAAACTTGTCTGGTGGCTGTGTGCAATGTGACCCGGCAAAAAGGTACAGATCATACGCGGCGCAGCAACTTGGCTATACTTCATTCGAAGAGAGCTCAAAGTGGAAAATGGAAATTCCATAAAAGCATTATAGGGAGTCCCTACTGTTTAAGCACGTCTTGCGATCAGGCTTGCTGGACTCAAACATGGAACATGTTTGTTCAATTAGCCCAAATTCTAGCGTTGTCCCACCCCAAAGTCCTGACCCATATCGTGAGGCCTGCTGTGATGAGCCTGTCCTAGATCTGCCGTGGCCAGATCTGGCCAGCACCTCAATGCAGCCAGCAATGGTGGCTGCTCCGTACAAATGCATACGGGACCCCTACCGTTCCGGACCCGCAATCCGGCGCACGCCCTCCCTTCGGCTCCGTACGCGACGAAACAACGGCTGGCAAGCAAAGGGAAAGCAAATGGAAAGCACATGGGAAAGGAAATGGAAAGGACATGGAAAGAAAAGGGACAGGATATGGAAAGCAATTGGAAAGAAATTTGAAAGGAAATGGAAAGCATATGGAAAGGAAGTGGACAGGAAATGTAACGGAAATGGCAAGGAAATGGAAAGGAAGTGGAAAGGATTTGTGACAGAGATGGAAAGGAATTGGAAAGGAAGGAACTGGAAAGGAAATAACGGAAAGCCAATGGACAGGAAATGGACCCAGCACCCCCCCAACCTCCCAACCCCACCCACGCCACCCACCTTCAACCCCCCCAACCTCCCAACCCCACCCACGCCACCCACCTTCCCACCCTCCCCAACCCCCCAACCCCACCCCCAACCCCACCCCCCAGCAACCCCCCCCCAACCCCCCCAACCCGCCCAACCTCCCAACCCCACCCACGCCACCCACCTTCTCCATCCCCCATCCCCCCCAACCCCATCCAACCCCCCCAACCCCCACCCAACCCCACCCAACCCCATCCCCCCCAACCCACCCTCCCCCAATCCCCCCAACCCCCCTCAACCTCCCAACCCACCCACCTTCTCCATCATTCGCTTGATGGACTTCAGGCGCTGCAGCTGCGAGGTGCCGGACCCCGTGGTGGGCAGCTTCTGCAGGTACCTGCCGACCCACCCCTTGAAGGCCCCCCCCTTGGAGCAACGTGAACCCCGTGCCAACTGAAGCCCCCTGAAAAGTATACATAAAAGAAACTAGAGAGTAAAGGCGCCCTTAAAACAAAAACAAAAAACTGGAGGGGGGGGGGGAACTAAACAACAGAGTCATCAAATCAAATTGAAGCATTGAAAGATGAAGGTCTTCAGCATGGGTGCCCCTTGTGCTGGCCATCTGATCAGTTGGAAACCGATCGAGGGGGAGGGGGGGGGGGGACATGTTACCCACTTTTCCACGGGTTGATTTCCCAGCTTTTCAGCTTACCATTTCCAAACTTTGCAGCTTTCTAGGGGTTGATTCCCATTTTGCAGCTTACCCAAGGCTCCCCATGATTTTGGGCCTAAAATTCCAGCTTGTCCATTCTTTCCAAGGCCAGATCCGTTTTCCCCGAGTTTCTGGAGGATGTCTAGAAAGAAGAAAGGGGGAGGTACCCCTAGAAATTTGGGTGACCCAACATTTTGACACACGAAAACATGCCTGGATAACGGAAGGACACCAACAACAAGAGACAGCGCCTCATCTTGATCACGGACTAGTAAACCGGTGGACTATTGGGGACACCCCCCCCAAAAAAAGTACTCCCTGTTGAAGGGGCGCTATTCATCCTGTTCATCCTGTTTCTACTGGAAAGACCATATCCTTGGACCCTTTCGCGCTCGTTGGGGAGTAACGGTGGAGCAACAACATAGCATGCAGCCCAAGTGAACCCAGCCAATAAAGAGTAAGACACGCATTGGGAAAAAGATCCGAGGGCCCCTCGGTTGCGGTCCCATACAGAAGGCCTTCCGACCGGCCCTTGGCTTCAAAAAAACAAAACATATGGTATGTAAATGGCACGTAACCTCCACTCCAAACAGCCAAGCCAAAACTCATTGACTTTTGGGCTCTACCGATATACTTCATTGACATTTGGGTTCTACCACTATGCTTCACACACATATGTATGCCTGAGAATAAACGTAGGTCCTCCAGTAGAGAGGCTAGAATAAGGGTAATTAGCCCTTTTTTCTGTAGTCTATGGGGAACCAACCCAACCAAAAAAGAAACGGGCAAGAGAATGGCACGATCGGACCTGGAAAAACGGATCGATCCGAGCCGAGTGAACTGCCCAAGCTCTTGATTTGGGCCCGAGCGCGGCCACCGGCGCCACCGGGGCGGGCAGGGCGGAAGGGGCACGCCGCGGTGTCGTTCATGAAGGTGTTGCCCTGCCGGCTTTCCCAAGGCTTTGAGACGCAAAAGGAGTCGCTCCCGAATAGAACGCGTTCGAGCGCAGGTCAAAAGAAAACGGCTTAGGTGGCGAATCGGTGGATCCGACCTGAATATCAAAAGAGTACTAAAAGAGTACAACGACACAACACACAACACTGCGCGAGACAACAACACGATCTCATGGTCAGCCCAAATCAAAGAGGGGACCCCCCAAAAAAGGGACCCTGGCCCCTAATAGGCCTAGCCCCTGTTGAGATTGGGGAATCGGCCCCTATTGGGGGGGCCCTTGGCAACCATGGAAACAATGGCTGGTAACCTTACATAAGTCTTCTTAGTCTCTTCAAGACTTCCACTCCACATCAAGGCTATGTGAACCCGGAATCCAAGGCACAAAGACCACCTTCTTTCAGCACCAAACCTTAGGCTCCATGGCCAGTTGGAACACGCTGGCCCGCCCAACTTGATGGCTGCTTGTGTACCCCCGAAATCAAAAAGCGCCTTCAAAAGGAAGAACCGCAGATACACATGGACCTCAGTTGCCCAAAGGGCCCAGAAGAAAATTTGGTTAACCGTCTGGGGCCATGACTAAAAAAGACCGAACTTCGAAAACCAAGAGGTCACAAGGTCGATTCGCTTTGGGCAGGGACACGCGATGTCGACTGCTTGTGTACCCCCTTTCAAAACAACAAAAAAGCGCCCAAAAGGAAGAACCGCGCACACACACACACACATGGACCAATATGGGTATGGTCCATAACTAAAGAACCATTTTGGTACCACTTTTTTGAGCCACAGCCATATAAAGGAGAGCTCTTGGGATGAACCTCGCTGAGCAATCCCCCGACCTCAAAAAGCGCGCACTGCCCAGCCTCCCGAGGAGCCTCCACGAACATCGTCTCGAAGGCTTCACGAGACTCAGCGGAAAGGAAAACGCCACAAGCGGGCTTCATGTTTGCCTATGTTATTTAAGACCGACACCCCCCCGCCCGAAAACCAGCAAGAGGCTGCTGGTTTTGCTAACATGATGCTAGGCTGTCCACAGATAGCAAGCTAACGTGTCTAACTTTTAGTGGGCTAAACAGAAAACCAGGGTTGCCTATGTTATTCTTAGGCTGTCCTCGGATCCCCTGGTAAGAGTGACTAACTCTTAGTGGGCTAAATACGGAAAACCCCACGAATGAAAAACTAAAAAGCTAAAATCTAAGGAACCGGATGGCTGGGAGACACCAAGACTTAAGCCCGGCCCCCGAAAACAAAAGATTCCTTTTGGTCTGCCTTCAACAAACTGACAAGAATACCCTCGGCAAAAAAAAACAAAAACACATGCAGATGGTGGAAGGAAACAAAAGGCTATCCCACGCGCGGATGTTTTCCAGCGGATGAATGCCCTTAGACGTTTGGTACGAAGGGCTTCAATGGGTGTGTCTGTGTGTGTGTGTGTCGGTCTGTCGCCGCGCGCGCGCGCGCGGGTGTGTGTGTGTGTGTGTGTGTGTGTGTGTGTGTGTGTGTGTGTGTGTGTGTGTGTGTGTGTGTGTGTGTGTGTGTGTGTGTGTGTGTGTGTGTGCGTGTGTTTGCGTGTGTGTGTGTGTGTGTGTGTTGTGTGTGTGTGTGTGTTTGTGTGTTTGTGTGTTTGTGTTTTTGTGTTTGTGTTTGTGTTTGTGTTTGTGTGTGTGTTTGTGTTTGTGTTTGTGTTTGTGTGTGTGTTTGTGTTTGTGTTTGTGTTTGTGTTTGTGTTTGTGTTTGTGTTTTTTTGTGTTTGTGTTTTTTTTTGTGTGTGTGCGTGTGTGTCTGTGTGTGTGTGTGCGTGTGCGGGTGTGCGGGTGTGCGTGTGCGTGTGCGTGTGGGTGTGCGCGTGCGCGTGCGTGCGTGCGTGCGTGCCGTGCGTGCGTCTGCGTGTGTGTGTGTGGGTGTTCTTTGTGTTGTTTCTGTTTGATTGCTTGTTTGTTTGTGTCTTTGTTTGTTTGCTTGCTTGTGGTTCGTGTGTGCGTGTGTGTGCGTGAGCTTGCCTTGTGTTTGTCGTTTTGTGTCTAACCCTGCAACCAAGGGAGCGAAGTTTCGCTAGCAGTGATGAATGGTGTTTCAGATACAGGAAAGTGCCGCATCGACCGTTTCCCTAATTCCTGTAGGGACGATATTAGCTTCCATACTCAGTTTGTTTTACACTAAACACATATCAAGCCATAACATATATATATATATATATATATATATGGCCATGCATTCTAATGGAGAAGCATCTCAAAAGTGGTCGGTGGATATGAATCCCCACTTCAAAGATGTCCACCAAAGGGTTAAGACCAACCCATATTTATGCGGAAACCCCCTTAAATGTCACGCCCATTTTTTGGTAGGAGACCCCCATCGCTTGAGGCATGTCGGACGCCGGAGAAGAAAACTCAGCTGCAGGCCCACTCGATGGTGTGCTCAATGGCATTGGGGAAGTGCTGGCCGGAAGCATCCGGGCAAATCATGTTTACGCCATATGAATCAATCCCAGTTTCTTCATACGGAGGGCCGGGAGGTGGTGTTGGCCCCTCCAAAAGTGGTGATTCCCCACTAAACCCAGGGAAAAGCACCCCCTATGAATAAACTGGGGTTGATTCATATTGGGTTCAACATTACTCCCCCCAGGTAACCATGGAAAAAGAGCAAGCTTCCAGCACTCCCCAACTTGCTGGCGGCTTCTTTCCACGTCTTCCTTTTTTGGTCCATGTCCAAAATCACAAGTACGGTAACCAAAAAGCAGTTGCAAGTTGGGACCCGGGTGCTGGTTATTTCGGTTGTGGACTATCAAGGGACACCCCTCCAAAAAAAAGGGTGAGGAAAACAAACGCCGTCAGGGTTGGCATTTTGGGATTGTAATAGAGACCGGGCCTTAAGGAATGGCCCTGCCCAATCTACCCCTTTTGATTTGTGGCCCAGGTTGCTTGCCCCACTCCGCCGAAAACCACGTCTGATCCATCTGCTCCACACCGATGAAAAAAACCATCTGATCCGTCACTCTGCTATCGCTGTATGTCCTCGGATCCCCTGCTAAAAGTTGTTTGACTGTCAGTGGGCTAAAATGGAAACCACTAAGCCAACTAGAGACTAAAAACCAAAAGAACCGGATGGCTGATTGAACCATCGAAGTGACTAAGTTTAACACAACAAAAAAACTAGCTGAATGAATAATATGGCCATGGGTCAAAAGCCCGGTTATCCCCCAGTGAACATCCCAATCCAACCACTAAAATAGGTTCTAAAATGGGTGGTGAGTTCACCTACCAAAATGGGATCCCAAAACGGTTTTGACAAGCACAGCCATATCAGAGATCCCATTTAGGGATAGGTGCACCACCCATTTTAGTCGATTTGAGTGGGGATGGGGATGTTTACTGGGGGTACGGGGTTTGGACGCATGGCCATATCAGAGATCCCATGGCAAACTTTTGGCATTTTCGCCTTGACCGTGCACAAGGGGATCGACTCCTCCGGTGGGTCTTGCGAGTCCCCGTAGGACTGAGTCAGCTTTGGCCTCGCGAGAAGCTGCGCCCAGCCCAACGGGTCCAGGCCAGGAACTTCCGCTCGAACATTTGAGTCCATGTCATGGTTTAGGGGACCCACCAAAATGGTGGTTTTCCTTATAGGTTTCCCTTCAATCAACAATTACTCAAGAAAGGAAACCCTAAAAAACAAAAAAAACACCACCCGCTCTTCAAGCAAACTGTATCGGGCCGCAATCAAAATCCTAATCTGCAAGGGCAACGTAACCCTCAAGCATTCTGTATGGGGCCGCAATCAAAATCCTAATCTGCAAGGGCAACGTAAGTCTCACTTGCCCAAAGGACCTAGAAATAAAAGGCTAATCTTTTGAGACCTCTACTAGAAATGGGCCAAACCGGGAAAACCAAAAGGTCGAAAGGTCGGCGTTCATCATTTTCACCCCAAAAAGGAAAGGAAAATGAGAAGGTCAAAAGGTCGATTCGCTTTGAACAACTGAGGGATGCACGTTCGCCACGCTGAAGAATCCTATTTGCCAAAGGTCCCAAACGTCGCCCCATGCGTCCAAACTGGGGGGCCCCTTTCATTCGAGGCTCTTGGCTTCGATGGCTCCATGGCCCCCTTCCGCTGGGCGTGCGGCAAGACCACCTGCACGTTGGCCTTCGTGCCCAGCCTGCGCAGCGACTCTGGTGTCAGGGAACCAACGCGCAAAGACAGAACCGAAGATGTGATGTTGACCCAGGATGAATAAACCTCCCCCATTAGGGGGGTGGAAACCCCTCCAAAAGTGGTCTGAATCCCCACTAAAAGGAGACACACCCCCTATTAATCAACCAGGTTGCTTTCTGCTCCCCTGGGAAAAGTTTAACTTTTAGTGGTTTAGTGGAAAACCCATTAGTTGGAAAAAATGTTAAAGTCCTAACAGCCAGGCAAAATGCACCAAAGTAATTTCGCCCACCCATCATTTTTGGGTGTCTTTGGGTGGGTCTTTGTATAGGCTCCCCAATTTGCTGGACTCGACGAGAAAAAAATGACGAAATGGTTGGTTGATGGATTTTAAACCAGGGCTGTGGGAAACGGAATCCACTTCTGTGATACAACAAAAAGGGCTTCCCAAAGACGTTCAACCCCCCATATAAAGGGAGATTCCCTTGTATCACAGAAGTGGGGATAAACCCCTTGATCCCACAACCCTGTTTTAAACGGAAACCCCGCCCCCACAAGAAGAAAGAAACACGGTGGAGGTCCGCACATGGCTTCGTTTTGTTTGCTGCTCGCGGCCATCACTCAAAATCAGGTGAAATATGGCCAGAGGCAACAGAATACGTGCACCGACTGAAGTGGGGTATCATCATCACCTGTGCAAGAACACATCATCCAACCCTACTAGGCTTTAAAATCAAGGCATGCCCCGGCACCCGGCACTACTTGAAGGGGCATTGTACTTCGTAAGTGGTTGGTAAGCCTGATTGTAACCCACTTACCATGGGTATAAGTCTTCTAAGTAACCAGGCTTACTAATCACTTACCAATTACCCAGCCCCTTCAAGTTGGTCTTTAAGGAGGCAACCTTTGCAAGGATGGACAAAGTGGGGGGCCCGGCCGTGGAATCAGCCCGCCCCCAGTGTTCTGGAATCCTACCTCTGATCTTGTGTGACCTGCCCCATGTCCAACAGCTGACGGATTGTTAGCTTATTAGGCGGTGTCCTTTTGAAAAGGGAAAACACATGTTCGACGAACAATGTCAATCGCACATCGAGATTGCAACATGTAGCAGAATGTGTTGCTGTCCGAAACCCAAATAACCACTGCAATGACATGTGCTAAGAAATACCCATGATTAATAGGATCCTGGTTGAGTAGGGCATGTGCCATTCGAAAAGGTATCCTGCACTTTTGGGACACTTAGGGTCTTTGCAACATCCTTTGTATTTGGTTTTTAGTGTTCTGGCAACATAGACTCCTATTCTATGTAATGTTGACCCCATATCAATAAACCACAGTTTATTCATAGTTGTTTTTCTCCAAAAGTGGTCAGCAAACAAGGCGGGGCTGGGCTCCCCTAAAGTAAGACCCGAAGTGAAACAAACACCTGAACCCCCCAGGACCATATTCTCCACCTCTAAAGGGTGGGTTTGAGGGTAGATGTTGAAGGAGAAAGGCTAAGCTTGTCCAACTGTGGTTGGTTTTTGAGCCATTCCAGAAAACAGGCATGGATGTGTGTGTGTGTGTCCCTATAGATACATCTATTATTAGGGTAAGGGCCTGGATGTATATACCCTCTTGCAGGTGAAGATGGAAGCCAACAAAATCCATCCATTTCTGGAGGAATCTCCTAGAGAACAAACTTTCCTGGTTGATGAACATGGGGTCACCAAATGTACCAAGTTGACCCAAGTTTTATGGGGTTCTTAAGGGGGGGGTGTAAGGGGGGGGTAATTTGAAACCCTCAAGCTTCCCTAGCGCTTCCTAGAGCTCCTTAGCCAACCCTAGCACTCCCTCTCCAAAAACCCCTAGAGGCCCCCAAAAGATCCTCACAGGCTCCCTTAAGCTCCTGCGCTTCCGCTTTGATTGTGGCTACGTTGGGTTGGGATAAACTATGGCTTTACCCCCTCAGCTGCGAGCGCTGGCCAACCCAGAATTCAGCGGGCCTTAGGGAAGCCTGGAAAAGCCTCGAGAAGAGAAATCGCACAAAAATCGGCTTAACTTGCGTTGCATAACAGACAAGCAAAGAACGGAGTGCTTCTTGCCACGAGACTAGTGGGCGGGCAAACCGGATGAGGGTTGAGCCAGATTCAGAATTTGAACCCTGGGCCTAGGGCTCCCTAGTCCACCTCAATTTGCCCCCCCTCTTTTACCCCCCCTTAAGAACCTCATAAAAGTTCCTTCATGCAAACAACGCCGAAGTTAGTAGTCTGAACAGCCGCCGAGAGCGGCACGTGCCGGACTCCAGCAGAGGCTTGCTGAACCAAACGCAGCGCGAGTCCACGTACAAGCGCGCCTGCGGTTGCTGAACAATCGCAGACCCCCAAAGACACACTGCTGGGGAAGAACAAGATAGACCAAAGCAGCTTGTGTTGTTTGTTATTTCTTTCTTGCGTTTCTTTGTGTTTTTGGTGATTCTTTTGTTTTTCTTTGTTCGGGGAGTTGGAGGGGTGGAAGGAGCAATTTCATGCGGAGAAAGAGGGAACGCTGCAAGGGTTTCTATTACCCCCAACCACCCTGAAGGGTAACATGATGTGAGGGTTGATCAAAAGGTCCTTTACATAGGATGACCATTGGGGGAAACCACTAAAAAGATGATATTTCCCACTAAATAGAAGAAGTTGCCCATGGTCATTCGGGGGCCAGGATCAACCCGCATGTACACAACTCTATACTCACCGTTAACTTTGAGAGCCAGCGTCCCTTTTGTCCTCCATAGGTGTTCTTTGCAAGTCAGTCTGGAAACAATTGGGCGGGGGCACCTCAACATGGTGGTTTTCCCTTTGGTTTCCCTTTAACACAAGCCAACAAGTGGTTCCCTACCAAAAACGGCACACCCAAGTGGGTTCAAGAACAACTGGTTTCAACTCTGATTGATTTCACTTGCCAGAATAGCAAGGGCTAGAGCCGCAGATTTCTCCTATGGAAGATGACTCAGGGGAAATCCCCAAAACTGGCTGGCTAGCTTACCCACATGGCTATAGAACTTCCAATGGGGAGCCAAGAATCTGGTTCGTGGACTCGGATGATCTCAGATGCCCAGCGGCCATGGGAAAAATGGGCATCCTTTTTTGGTTGGTTGACTTAAAAGGAATCGGAACCCTGCCCAAAAACATGTTGAAAAAGAACGCGGAATCCACTGGATGCAACTGGGTGGACATGAATCACCGAAATCTGTCCACCAAATTTATACGAGCATCTTCCGCTGCCTTCCGCAGATCCGAGCTGCAAAAAGCCCAACAGTTTACTCCCCGCATGAGGCCTCGAACTATTCTAGGGGTTGATTCCTTGTCCATTCTTTTCACCCATCGTTCTTTTCACCCATCGTTCTTTTCAACCACCGATCGCCATGTTCCCCAGGGGTTTACGGAGGTGTTCTAGAAAGATCCGGATCCCTGGGTCAAGAATGGAAATGGAAATGGTACCCCTACTCAGTTGTTCAGTGACCCTGGAAAAAAAGGGAACCCTTTTTTGGGCTTGGACCGATTTTTTAGTGGGGCCACCAAAAAAAAAGGTTGGAAAACGAGACTCGGGGCCACTCAACGAGCCTAGACGCTATGTGCATGGTAATTTTCGAACGCTAACCCCCGAAAGACGTGCGCTCGACTTGGGCAAAAATGGTCGAAGGGACTTCGTAAAATAAAATGAAGCACACCCAAAGCGCACCCCCTAAAGGAAAGAGTTTCGGGGGTAAGACAAAGACCCCTGCAGGGTGTGGGAATTCATATGGCGGACCCGGATCCTGAATTCCTTTAAGTCTGAAAAGGCGCTGCCCCGGTTCCGGGCTTAAGAAAACCTGAAACCGGTTGCTAAAGTTGATCGGGTGGGGTTGAAAACCTGGGAGGTAATGGTTGTCGCCTCAGGGCTGTCTGTGTTCAGATCCCCTGCTCAAAGTGACTAACTTTTAGTGAGTTCTATCGAATCCCAACCACCAAACCCTAAAAACATCTCAAATCCTAGCTTCCATGTGGTTAAGGCCCCAGGAATAAATACAAATATTTCCAGTAGTGATGAATTCCTGTTAAACCCAACAAGGGAAAAACAAACATATTCTTAGTCTAGGAAACCGAACGGCTGTCTGAACCACCAAGGCCTGAATGTTGTCCAGGGCATTGACTACGCAGTCCAGGCCCTCCCAAAAGGCGTCGTCGAAGGTGTCTTCCGTGTCGGGGCCAACACCTCGGAGCCCACCGGAAGCGGCGAGTCAGAATCAAAACCGGATTCGAATGGGTCGATCCCCAGAAAGGTCCTAGAGGGTAAAATAAGTTGGTACCCGATTTTTTTTCCTCTGTAGTCTGTTTTAGTAGGGGAACCGAATCTCCCAACCACAAAAGGGGAGAGAAGGGCAGCCATAGCTGGGGGATCTAGCCATGTGAGAATTAAGAAGGCGGAGAACCGCAGCGATTTATGGCAAGGGGATTATCCCCTACTAACCCTCATCTACCCGGGGGCTCAGGTTGTTGCATGCTGGAGGGCAAAGATGGGTGTGTCTCAAGATAGGAACAGCCTCAAAATGGCTTCCGTGTTCCTTTGGTGTCCCTGTAAAAAGATAGAAACAAGGGGTACACTCAAAAAAAACAAGCCACCCAGGTGTAAGATGCTGCCAAAGCACACTCCTGGGCAAACACACAAGCCACCTAACCACCCTGAACCTCCCCAACCCCCTTGTATTGAGTGTCTTTGCCAAGCGCTGACCTTACAAACCCCTCCTCTTGCCCTTTGATTGTTGGCTGCAAAAGTCACCTGCCAAAAACATGGCTACCTGTCTTCCCTCGCTTCCTGAGTGGTGGGCCACTTGTTGTTCACTCAAATGGTCTTTGAAAAAGATTTAAAGTCCAGGAACTCAGGAAGTGAGTTTCTGAGCAAGAATATGCAAGAATATGCAGTGAGAATGGGGGAAGGGCGGGCCGTAGAAAGCAACTATCACTTTGTCCACCCGCTTTTGGTTTCCAATGAGGCAAACGGTCAATTAAGAGGGATTGTCGGTATTTCAGACAAGTAAACCAGCAAAAGTCACCATTGTCAAAAATCCTTCTTATGTGGGTCATGATCATGGTTCTGTTGCCGAAAACCCTCTTCATGGTCCACAACCATGCCTTGTTGTTGAAGTGGTCTTTGGACCATCGCACATGCGTGCAGAAATACGAAACAATCATGGGTTTAGGAGTCGTATCGTACTTTTAGCGCCATCTATGTAATCTCCCGACCCCATAAGTGCGCTCAAAGGCGATTTCGTATCCGGACCTTCAAAAGCAATGGGAGCCATATGGCCATGGGTCAAAAGCCCATACCCGCAGTGAACATCCCAATCCCCGCTAAAGTAGACTAAAATGGGTGGTGAACCTGCCCCAAAATGGTACTATTGGTTTTGACCCACAGCCATATGAGTCAGGAGGAATGGCATGCCCTTTCCAGCCCACGCCCCTCAGCCAAGACTGGCTAGCCTCCCATCTGGAGCTCTGCGCCCACAAAGGCCCCATGTGTCTCTTGGCTCGTTTTGGGCTCGTCCCTTTTTTCGAGGAATCGGTCTGCCCAACACGGCGAGGTCTTCGGGCTTCCCGAGAAGAATAAGCCCCGACGAAGGGGCTGCCAACTCCAAAAAAGAAGTTGAGCAGCAGAGTGTGTTTTTGCTCACCTGAGTGGATGGGCGAGACAATGTCACCAATATTTGTGTGTAAGTTTTTCCCAATAAAGGTTAATTGGGAAATAGGTACTAAAATGTTACTTGGGGAAAAGGGCTTTAAGTTCGGCACTAAAATTGGTTCTTCCCAAAATGTTTGAAGTCCGCGCATTGAGCTCGGGGAGTGAGTTCCAAAGGGAAACAACTCCCGAGTTCCATCCAAACCAACTAGGGGCCAACCCCAAAAGTCCAAACTGGAGCCTGCAACAAAACGCTAAGGCCCAACCCAAAAAAAACAAAACAACAAAAACCACGCCAACCAAACGGGAGCCAAAAAAACAAAACGGGGAGAAGGTGTGCCAGTGGTAAGATCCTGGCTCTTCCTCTCTCCTTCCGGGGCCCTCACGGACCTCCATAGCAGAGACCTTCAGGTCTTTGTTCATCGCCTGACCGAGGAACAGGAAAGCGGCCCTTTTTGTTTGCTGGGGTCTTCGAGTTCAATACTAGTTATTGCAGCTTTTAGGGGGTATCCCTCAAAAAACAGGAGTTCAATACCTTCTTTGCTGGGGTCTCCCGCCCCCCAAAAAAAAATTAAAAAAATGGAGTTCAATACCTTATTTGCTGGGGGGTCTCCCGCCCCCAAATACAAAAAACACAACAAACACATGGAGTTCAATACCCTCTTGCAACAATTGAAAGCTGTTTTTTTGGGGTATCCCCCCAGAAAAACTGGAGTTCGCTTCAATACCCTGTTGCCATGGAACCTGGTTTGGACTAGTAGAAGCTGTTTTGTTGGGTATCCGCCGAAAACATGGGGGTAAATCCCCCTCCCAACGTTGCCACGGAACTTGACGCTTCGGATGTCGGGGTGGGCGAGATTCCTTTACAAGGGACTTTTTGGTGGATTCCATGTTGACGGGAGGGTAGCTCGCCTCAGAAGTGGATGGGCCAACAAAGAAACAAACTGCTTCTTTGCCACCAAACCTGCCGTCCCAAGAAATGACGAATGTGGGTACTCGATCAATGAAACGGTACCAATGAACAAGAAGGTGTTCCCAAAATTCGTCACTGCCCTGCCCCATCTACAATGGGTTACCTCCATTTGCTTGAGTCCCCTGGAAAAAAAGACAAGCATGTCCAGTAGTGATAGATTCCCTTCAAAACCAAGAGAGGGGAAAATAACATATCTTCTTATGCAAATGGAAGGTTAAATGGCTGTGGGTCAAAAATAGGTACCCCAAACGGAACCTTGGCAAGTAGAAACATGGACCAAAACATGTGGTCCCCCGGTGGGATAATTTTGACTCATACCCAAATAGGTTGTTCTTCACACGAAACAAACGTGGAAAATCAGTGGATACATCCTTTGGAGGACTGAAAAATCAATCCTAAGAAAACACAAAGGGATCCACACACAAGGGTCTGAACACTGGTCCAAGGGACAAAGCGTAGAAAAAGGCCCCAGAGAGGACTAGGTCGGAAGCAAAGCAGGTCCAAGAAAAAGAGTCCAAGAAACAGGGTCGCTGGATTTCCCCTTCAAAAGTTGCAACTTGCTGATCTGCAATTGCACCGATCACCACTTTTGGAGGTTCCAATGGGGAAAATAGAGGAAACTCTGAGCAAACCATCGAAGAAATGGGCAAAAGGAGGACACCCCGAGAAACCCAGGTCCAAAACAGGGTCACGAGAGAGTCCAAAGCCCCAAAACCAGAGTCGACACCTCCGGCGTCTGTCGCCTTGGCCGCCCGCGCTGCGGAGTGGGACTTTGAGCTGCCCACGTCAGACCTGGGGTCGAAACAAAGACGGGTGCTAGGCTGAGTAGCCGGGCCCAGCTAGGTGCCCTTTCTCACCCAACTTTTTTGGTTGGGACGGCTTTCCTGCTAAAATAGAAAACAGAAAAAAGTTGGTACCCTTATTCTAACCTCCTACCGGAGGACCTACATGAGAAATGGAATGGGAGATCCCGGATAAAGAAAAGCATAGGGGATGCTAAATCGCCGCGGTCATTCCATTTCTCATTCCCTGCCTACACCAGCAACCTTGAGCGTAAAGCACTTGGCCGTACGATGAACTTCACAGCGTTTGTAACACTGACTACTGCAATGCTCTTATGGTTCAACTGACTTCCAGGGTGTTTACTTGGTTGCTCTTGGGCTTACAGGGTCAATGGCTCCTAAAGTCATGAAACAAGCAGCAAACTTTGAGGAGTTGCTACCCTTTGTTTGGTGGTCTCATGGGGAAAAGACTCACCCATCACTGCCACCCTGGGTGGCTCCCAGCCATCCGGTTCCTGAGCTTCTTGTTTTTTTAGCGTTTTAGCTTTTTAGCCTCTTGTAGAGGCTCAGGATCCGTGAGATGAGAAGGGCCCTTTTGTTGTTTGAAAGCAACTTCGGCCATGCAAATCGGAGCCTTGTGACTGTACTTGGAAACCGCTCACCCAGTTGAGGGACACCCTTGAAGTCCCTTTTGACTTGCGGCATCCCCATGACTAAATCGAATTGACCCCACGAATTTCCAACTTCTAGGGACCTAGTCATTTCCCTATCGCGGGGACCGCAAGTCCAAGAAGCACGGCAGTCTGCGAGGCTCCGAGGCTGCAAGTACTCAAGCCCGTGATTGGCGCTCAAGGTGGGTGCCCCTAGCATGTTGTAAGTCAAAGCACCGTACTCAACACCAACATCATGGTAAATCATGGACCGAATTAGAGGGGTTGATGGTTCCCTTACTTGCACTATTTAGCAAAACATGTGGCTGGACTTGTTTGATAAGCCTATACATGGGTATGGGTCAAAATCCGCAGGTTTTAGTCCGTGCTTCCATTTTCCAGAGTTCCATTTTGGGTCCCTATTTTTGACCCACAGCCATAGTATACATACAGCTGTTGTGGTGGATGTTTAGGCTCCAAACATACCATGCTGGTTGAGGGAAGCAACCTCGAACGCATAGCAAGAAGCCCCGGTGTGAGGGAAGTTTCGTGGGGATTCCTTTCCAGCGGCCCTGATGAACTGGGGCGGGTTGTTGATCGGGGCTCAACGCCAGGAAGACCCTTGTTCTTGGACCTGCTTTGCTTCCGACCTAGTCCTCTGGGGCCCTTTTTCTACGCTTTGTCCCGTGGACCAGTGTTTAGACCCTGGTGTGTGGGGATCCCTTTTTGGTGTTCAGACAATTCTGCAAGATTACCCACTCCGAAGAACAAGGGGTGTTCGGGTTCACTGCCAGAAATGGATGCAACGAGGCTTGGTGCCCTTTTCTAGGGAACGGTTTGGATGTGGCGAATCTGTGGATCCACCCCTGCAGGATTTCAAAAGTACACGAAAAGATTGCTAAAAAAGGGACCAACAGGGGGAAGAACAGGTGAAATCAACAAAAAACACGCAAATCCAAACCGTTTGTTAGACCTTTGATCGGGGCAAAGTCGTGCTACCAGCCCTTTCTTCTTGTTTTTTTCTTGGGGGGGGGTGTAAAACAAGCCCAAGCCTATTTCGGTTTTGCTTGCTTTCCCTCAAAGTGGGGTCGAGTCGCCGATTCCTTTGGGTGGTTTTGGGGTGGGGTTCTTGGAACTGTCTGGGGCTGGGGACAAGGGGAATCCATCAGTTATGGAATCCCTACAAAGGGCAAGGGGGGTGGGTAGCTGAGAGGGGTTGCTTCGGGTTTTTTAATTGAAATCCCCTCCTTGGATCGCCCATCCTTAGGGATTGCCTACATGGCCGTGGGTAAAAATCCAAATCGGTTCTCCCCCAGTTTTCTCATCCCTTTTTCCAACCACTAAAATCGGTTCTATGGGTGGTAAATGCACCAACCAAAATGGTATCCCATTGGTTTGACAACCACAGCCAATGAGTAATTCATGGAACAACCCTCGGATTCCTCAATCTGAGAGGAATCCTTTACTCCTCCGAGCTTCCAATCTCTTCTAGGTCCTCCAGTAGAGAATTTAGAAGAAGGGTACCCTTCTTTCTGTAGTCTATTTTAGTAGGAGAACCCTCCCAACCAAAAAAGAAACGGTAAAAGGGCACCTGGCTGGGGGACCTAGTCTTTGTCTGCTCAGTCCTTATGCTTGGTTTCCATTGAAACCATCGATCCACTTTTGGAGGGTTCAAGGGACATGGCTCGGAAACCCTGTTGAACCTCTGGTTCATTATTAACCTCGTTAGAGGAATCCTTGACTTGTCCAAGGAATGAACACTGCGTCTGTAGCTGTCACACTTGCTGAAGAGTGCCTTGCGTGTGCTCAGAGTAGCTGAAGCCCAAGAAATGAAGAGTAAAATTCCTAGGCCTGCAGCAAGACTTCTGGGTGTGCCGCCCAGTTGCGCAACGGCTGGAGCATTCGCGTACGCTAGCAAAAAACATACACAAAATCAGCAGTTCCAACGTGGACTGAGACTTCTCAACCACAGCCACGCTGCTTCAGGCCGAGCATTTGGGGCCCCTTGCCCAGCTGGGGGAACCAAGGACACCCGCTTTGTGGCTGGTTGAGCCAAAGAAACAAAGGGCCATCACTGGAGGGAAGAGCCAAGGGCCATCACAGGTCTGAGTCTGAGTGGGGTGGGTGCCTGATATCTGGCTGCTCGCGCTCGGTTCAGGTGGGAAAGCCCCTTACTCGGCCCCCAGCTGGCGGAACAAGAACTGCCGGTTCAAGTTCGAGATCTGGCCGTGCAAACGACGGCAGGGCTTGAGCTCTTCATTTCTTTCACAATTTGGGGAATTCGAGCTCAATGTGAAAGGCAACTCACAGGACCCAAAACATGAGGTGTGCTAGCACGGCATTTACTCTGCTTCCTAGCATCTCTACTCTTGGTATGGTAGCGAAAAACTTTGTTTTTTGCAGACCCCCCCAGAAAAAAAAAAGAAACAAAAAAACATGCCAAGAACAGTGAAGCTACTTCTGCCTTCGGAATTGGCCCAATGTGCCCAGACTAGATCGAAGCAACACCAAAATGCTCACGGTGCTGTTCTCCAGTCGCGCGACTGGGAGTTCAACAAGCTGTGCTGTGATCCGGAAAACATTCTCAACACAACATATAAGCACTCTGCGAGAACTAATTACATATACAAACATATGTATACTATATACACATGTATATACATATACATATATATATATATATATATACATATATATATATAATCCACACCTGTTTATACACGGCAAGAATTGTCAATCCGGTGTCTCATTCAATCATGCAACTCTCGCAACTTGAATGTGTCCGTCGCAGGGCTTTTGTTTTGAGGTGAGCTCTAAGGGCACATCTTTACGCCCGCAACACACTCACACAGACCCTCAAAGGAAACATTTGGGAATCCCAACATAGCGGTGGTATGTGCCGTGTACGTGCTATCTGGGCCACACATATCTAGAAACAAGAAAACCACACATACATGGGCTTTGCTTCCCCATGCTTCAATTAGGGTGTGGTTGTGGGTGTACATATATATGTGTATATATGTGTGTTTCGCTCCTTAATGCAACTGGCAAAGGAATCCCACTGTAGGGGATCTTGATCATGGGCGAGCCCGTTTTGCCGCCAGGTGAGCTTGCTAAACACTTCTTAGACAAATGGAAAGGCTTGGTTGCGTGTCTTGTTGCGATGCTTCTCTCTACACGGTCTGCACTGCACCAGCAAAGCTGGTCCGGCGGACAAATCACTGAGCACCAGCATCAAACAACGAACCCACCAACTGCACAACCAAACAAACATGGAAACAAAAACACATCAACAACCAAACAACACATCAGCCACGCAATCACGCAACCAAACAACCGAACACATGCAACCTGCCAAGCGTCCAACCGAACAACCGGGACGCAACACAAGCAAGAGCACCGACCCACGCCTCAATTCGGTCCATATCGGTCACCGTCAGCTTGCCGTCCCCGCAGCCAGCGCCCATCCTAAGCCCGAAACAGGGACTGGGATTCTCCCTACTGGGATTCTCCCTAATTCGGGACACTTGGCTAAGCATTTACTTCAGAAATCGAAGTTCAACTTGTTCTATTCTAGGTCCTCCAGTAGGGAGGATGGAATAAGGGTACCCTTTTTCCTGTAGTCTATTTTAGTAGGGGAACCCTCCCAACCAAAAAAGGGGAGAGAAGGGAACTACTGGAGGACCTAGTCTTTCTGTTCAGCTACCCAATTTTTGCGGGGTCTCACTTCCTGAGTGCATTGGCCAACAAGGGCAACCAATTTTCGCATTTACCACTCTGGTCCAAGCCCGAAAAGTGTCAAGTCCGAAACGGAACTCGGGGAGTGGGGGGAAGCAAAACCTGGGTATCCGCCAGGTTGACAACTCCAGGGTTGTCAAGGACCATGGCCTTTCAACAATTCCCCTTGCAAGTTGATGTCGACCCCATATCCGAGCAGAACCTGGTGGATGCTTACAGGGGATGTTCCCCCAAGGCTTCCCTGCAAAATGGGACACATCCTAGTAATCAACCAGGAGATCCTGAATCCGAGCTTCTCTCATCTCTCAAAGTGGCAACTCATGTTCCTACAACGGATGTTCCTAGCGCACGTTTGGCGGGTTAAATGTTGGCAGCCGGATCAACCACTCAACCGCCCCAAATCAGCTAAATTCCTATGGAGCCGGATGGCTCACGTTCGAATAAACACGCTGATGTACTCACTTCCTGAGTGGCTTGGTCAAACAAAGTCTGCAGTGTTTGCTGACCTCCAAACTGTTTGGCCCACAGCTGGCGTGCAAAAAAAAAAAAACGATTGTTCAAACTGCGCTTCATATTTGGTCAACCCCTTCAAATAATAGTCAGTAGTTGTTTGCAGGAGATTCCAGACATGTTCTTCCCAAGTGGCTCAAGTCCAAGAACTCCGGATGTTGCCTTTAAACATCTCTTCACTTCCACTAAAATGGTCCAAACCCCCAAAACTGAAAGTTCTATTGCTACCCTCCCCATACATTTCCCCTTTGAGGGTACACGGGAATCATGTATAAAGTCTGAAACGGAACTCAGGAAGCGAGTTTGGTTTCCCTGAATCCCAACCAAAATTCGATCGAGTTTGAGAAGCTGAAAAGGGGAAGATGTGTTTTTTGTTTTATGGGGCACCCCACCCCCGAACCCCCCCCCCCCAAAAAAAAAAGGCAAGGGTGTCCCCTTTTAGCTTCCCTACTGCAGCTTAAGCAGATCCCAGATACTATTGTCCCAGAAGGATACGTTGACGACTGTACGGTTCTCTAAACAGGAGAACCCCCCCAAACCCCTGGTTTCCCTTGGGTTTCCCACGTTTTCCCTTTGGTTTCCCTTTGGTTTCCTCTAAAAACAACCAAAGAAGGCTCCCTCGAAAAGCTCTCCGATGCGGGGAATAAGAAAACTCGCCGCGGCCCCGGCATGGCAAAGCTCTTCAGGAACTCGCAGCCAAGGGCACCTGCTCCTGAGACGCGAAATCGAGAGAGAGCGACCAAGGCAGCTGTAAGCTTCGGCAAGGCGACTCTCCGCACCGGGGGTTGAAAGGGGGTTGATCATGGGTCACATTTCCCATTTAGTGGGAGATATCATCGTTTTAGTGGTTCTCCCCCATGGTTGTCCCATGTAAAGGACCTTTTGATCAACCCCCAAAATAGGTCTGCAACAGCAACCAACCAACCACCTGGATGAAGTGCAGGTGCTCCAAGTAGCGGCCGCCAAACTTCCATTTGCTTAAGCCTTCTGAAAAAAAATAAACTATTTCCAGTAGTGATAGATTCCCTTTGAAACTAACAGGGGAAAATAAAACAAAATGCTTAAGCAAATGGAAGCAAAGGTGGGGGAAGGACACGAAGTGCTTCCGGATGCGACCCTTCTAGATCCATCGACGGGAAAGTCGACCTGAGGACTCCCGTTCTGCATTTGGCGGGGCTTCTGTTGACGAGCGACACGGAAAGGTCCACTGAAGGACCACATTGCCGACCTCGAATGAGCGACATGGCCGCACGGTCAACCCGGAAGTGAACTTGGACGGCAGCATCATCACCTGTTGCAGGGTTTATGTGAACACAACCCCGGGGCTATAATTTGATCACAATGAAAGGCAGTTGCCTGCACTCAGCCGATTCGCGAGCATCTCTGGTAAGAGCAATTGACAATTCAACCTTTCCGGCGCTAATAATTCAGGGACACTGTTCTTCTCTTTGAATCCGCCAACTCCTCCGCTGTTCCAATCCTCCCTCCTTCCAGAGGGGAACGGCGTGGGACGCGTTTTTAGGAGGTTTCGGTACAACAACACTGGGGCACAAGTGGGCATTGCACAAAACACATGTTTCCAGGACCGGTTTGAAAAAAACAACACAATTTTACATGTTGTTGACCCTTCCAAACGCCGATGATGCAGACCCTGCTTGGGCCCCAGGATTCGTCCATGGTTGCATCCGGTCCGGCCCCTAGTTTTGGGACTCTTGCGAAATACATTTACACGTTCCTAGTGGGCTAAATGGAAAACCAGCAACTGAACACTAAAAAGCTAGAAAGCTAAGGAACCGGATGGCTGGTTGAGCCACCCAGAAACACTTGCAAAGGCCGCAAAGTCTGTCATGGGCCCCGCCGGCCCCGGGTTGGCGATGACGTAAGCCAGGCAGCCAGGCAGCCAGCCAGTCACCCTGGAAATGGACACACAAAGGCCCAACTTCTTTTGGTCCCATTTTTGGGAGGCTACGAACAACTTTTTCAGCAGGGCTCATGTGACCAGACTCCGCACTTTGATACTCACAAAATTGGATCCGGATTCCCACAGGTAGTGAGGACACCACCTACCACAGGCCCCAGTATTTCACCATATCGGAGTCACCCCCACCCCCTAAGTGGGTTAAAGGGAAACCACACCACTGGCCTCATTATTTTACCATGATCAAAGTCACCCCCCAAGTGGTGGGTTAAAGGGAACCCGACTTTGATAACCCCCAAAAACAGTCAAAACGACCCCAGACACCAGTCTCTGACTTTCGGAAACAGTCAAAGTAATGACTCCAGTCTTAATCCACCAGGAGCTTTGAAATCCGGGGTTGACACTACCGGACCTGAGATAGAGCGTTGCATCGGGTGGCCGATAGCGCAGAAAATCATGGGCAGCTACCCCAAATAGCAACATATAATATGATATGGGTCTGTCTTTGGAGTTGGTACCCATGTGTTAGTGGTATTACCAGGAAACCAAACTTACCCCTTAAAACTCCAAGCCCTGGGGAAGTTCATCTGTTACAGACAGCCCATGTTACCCAACAAGTTGAACAGTTGTGTTTTTAAAGAGGTAAGTATATTATTCCATTGTTGAAAGCTTAATGCAATATCAACTTCGCATCAAGAAGGACCATCAGAGCCCCCGCAAACATAGAACATGGTGGAAAATGGATGGCGGAGCCATCTTGGGGCAATTCCCAAACAAGAAGACACAGATCAGCTTCAGCCAGCTACTAGGGCGGCGGTTGAAATGGAAAATCCACGAGTTTCTGTGATACAAATCGATTCCGGGCTTCCCAAACACGTTCAACCCCACCATTAACAAAAAGGGGGAGATTCCAACTTCTACAGAAGTGGTTGGAAAAACTCCGAGTGATCAACCACAACCCTGCTTTGCAGAAACGAGTTTTCACAAGTTCAGGCGATGGGACAAGTCTCCACTTACCTCAGGAAGGTCCAGGGAACCAGCGAGAATCGGCACCCTGAACCTGGCTGGGTGCGTGGGCCCTCGGTCTGCAAACAATAAGACGCCTTGCCTGTCAGCTCAAACAGAAAGGGGTGCTTTGTTCGGACCAAAGAACAAACAAGTACATCTGGGCAATTTGGCATAATCCTCCGAAAATAAGGTATCCCTGTGTAAAATGCCTTCATTATGGGTGACTTACGTGACATCGGTATCATCCATTTGCTTAAGTCCCCTAGAAAAAAAACAACACAATATGTTCCCTTTCAAATGAACAAGGGAAAATCCCTTAAGCAAATGGAAGTTATAACTTGCCCAAGGACACGGCATGCCAGTTTCCCCGCCCCATCTGAGGCAGACTCCAACGAGGAAGATCTTCATGTTTGCAATCGCCTGACGTAAACGAAATTCGAGCAACGCGTGGCCAATCGGTGCACAACAAACGGGGTGTGTCCCAAAATACAGTGGATGAACAAAATCCGCCTCGCGCCGGTTGCATACAACCCTATGAATACTGGTTGACCACCTACCAGCTGGTGGGTTATCAGTAGGAAACACTACAAGGGCCGACATAAATAGAATCGGGCCCGTCCACCGTAATTGCTTTGAACCTTCGAAGGGGACTGGGCTGTCCGTTTTCAGATCTCCTGCAAAACGTTTAACATTTAGTGGGTTGAATGCAAACGCAACCACTACCAACGAAAAAGCTAAAAAGCCAAGGAACCAGATGGCTGGGAGCCACCAAGTGAAGGGCACTCAGAACCTTTCGAAAGGGCCCCCAAAAAACTTTAAGAAAGTTCTGAAAACCTTTTCCGGTGCTTTCCGGTGGGTCCCCAGAAAAAAATCCAGTGATAGATTCCCTTAAAAACCCAACAGGGGAAAGCAAAAAACACCTTCTGTTCAGCAATTGGAAGCTAAAAATGGCGGCTGGCCAAATTATGGGTTTCCTTCAAACCAAGAAAAAGGGTAGTTTTATGGTAGGGGACACAAACAAAAAGTTCCTCAAATGGAAGTTACGTAGACGCCCGCCAGGTCCCAGTGGGCCAGCCTGCTGCATGGACTTACCCAGGATAGCGATCTGGTCATCGTAGCGTGTAGCCGCCGGCCTCCGGTGAAACAAACAGGAGCTAAGAACTCCTCAAAACTGACCGCTCCCTGGAGTCTCCTTTTGCCCCGTCAAAAATGGGGTCATTGCCCAAACTCAAGGGGTTCTGGACCCATTTTCTAGATGGACCAACATTGCCTTTTTCCTGGAAGAGTTCAAATGCGAAGAAAGCGAAAATGAACAGAATCGCTTGTTGGTCATTTGCAAGTCACCGAAGACAAGCCCTGGTTGCTTTCGATTTGCAAGAATGCAACGCCACACTGACTCCCACCGTCGTTGAAGAGTGGCATGAGCCCAGAAGGGGTGGAACAAAAGGGCGAAATTTCTCGGTTGCTTTCTGCTCCACTGCTAAAAGTGACTAACTTTTAGTGGTTTAATACGGAAAACCCACTAGTTGGCAAAAAGTTAAAGTCCTAACATCCAAGCAAAACGCACCAAAGATTTCATGGGTCACACACACACACACATGCTCACGCACCCGCACACAGATTTCCAGATCTTAGCACTGACTGCATGGTAAACAGCGGTAACGGCGGCGGCGCCTTTTAATCGTCCTAAAGTGCGAACCGAAGAGATGGAGGCTGGACAAAAGAAGTGTTCCAAGTTTCCCTACATGAAATGATAAACACAATGGCGATCGATCGGAGTGTTGCAAACACTCCCGAAGCAAAGTCCTTCCGCACGGAGTGATGCCAACTCAAACATTCCCGAAGCACAACTAGAACAATGCAAAGAACACCTCACCCCTTAAAACTCCAAGCCCTGGGGAAGTTCATCTGTTACAGACATGTAGCCCATGTTACCCAAAAAGTTGATTGTGTTTTTAAGAGGTAAGACACTGTTTAACCGTTGAACGTAAACCTGTGCAAGTTATATTCAAAGTGACTCGAGAGGCGAGTGAACGAAAGCCAGCCAGCCCAACAATGACATGTGCAACCCAGGAGTTGCCAAAATATTGCGAATAGCATCCTTAAAGAAATATCAGAAAGCCAGTGCTTACGAAGGCCCAAACTTGGACCAGGTCCGAATGAGAGTGACTCCCCAGCTGCAAACACGTGGACGATGGGAATATGCTCGTGCGGGGCTGGGGTGTGTGGTTTTGAGAGTTGTTCACACATTTTCATTCGGGGCATACCGAGGGTAGACTCAAATCTACGTTTGCAAGCCGCGCCCCCCCCCCCAAAAAAAACAAGAAGTACCTTACACAACATGCAGGACAATCTGTGCTGTGTCCAACCCTTGGTATGGACGCAGCAAACTGTGTTTGTTGCAGCCCGCTACTAAAACAGAGTAGACCTCCGCAAAAGAAAAACAGTTGAAGAACATGCCGTATACTGAATCGGGGCACCAAGTCGTAAATCGGTTGCCACTTAGGGCGGAAACAAACAAACACACGTCGTACATCACGGCCGCGGTTGAGGGAAAACCGCTTTGGGGGAGTCCCCTGAAACAAGATACGCCTACATTTCGAGTGCTACCTTCCATGTCCATTCTGAACACAGGGATCCGGATCTTTCTAGAAGACCTCCGGAAACCCCTCGGGAAAACGGATCCGGTTGACGAAAAGAGCGATGGTTGGAAAGAATGGGCAGGGAATCAACCCCTAGAAAAAGACGTCCATTTGCTGATTCGCCCCCGGGAACAATGACAATATTTCCAGTAGTGATATCCTCCCACCAACAAACATGCAAGTGGACGGAGGGCTTCCCCAAGAGGAAAGTAGTCTTCCAACCCCCTGTCAGCTTCCATGTTAGTCTGAGGGAGTGTAGATTCCCTTTACAACCAACAAGGGGGGGGGAAAAAATAAGCAAATCTGAGGGAGTGTAAATTCCCTTTAAGACCAACAAGGGGAAACAACAAAACTTAAGCAAATGGAAGAAGACATGCCGAAATCGGTTTCGGAAGCCAAGGAACTGCCAGTCACTGGGATCTTGCTCGGGGCAGAGCTCAAACCTGGGCAGGTAGCCACTCTGTCCGTTTTCAGATCCGCGAAAAGTGAGGCCAACTTCGACTGGCAACGGAACGCCTAGGGAGTTTCGACAGTACAAGAACCTATAGAATGCGGCGTGAATGCGTCGTGAATGCAACGTTGCTTGGGATGGTTCGTCCAAAAGCAGACACAAAGGAGCCCATGCTGCAGATACCATCGGGACCCAACCCAGAAACCCCCCGAAGGAAAGGCTCCGGAACCCAACCCAGAAACCACCCCAGAGACCAAATCCATAACTTCCAGCTGTGGAAGAAAAGTTCACCTTCCGAAACCTTGACCGGCTCCAATTCGATTGATTTAGGGCCTTCAAAAAACCAAACATTTTTACCAGAGGCTCCAATTCGATTGATTTAGGGCCTTCAAATGACCAAACATGTTTACCAGAGGCTCCGATTCGATTGATTTAGGGCCTTCAAACAACCTGGTTTTGAGACCCCCAACCGGGTAGCGGGGTGTCTGCTTCGGGCTCGGGTCTTCCATTGAAAGCCGAAGCAGATCGGAGCCTCTGGGCAGAGTCAAAGCGAAAATCTCGGTCGGATCCAGTCGATGCGCTGTGAGGATTTCATGGAGCTGGAGAAGCTACAGATCGAAGGTGGAGCAGCTACCAGAAGACGAGACGCCGGAATTCCATCAGAGAGCTAGTCTTACTGTGGATGGCTGCGAAATCCATTTCGCACCGCTTCAAAACCATTGTTTGTTGGTATTTACAAGAGAAACATCTTTCCAGGGTTTCTTAGGTGGTGCAGGAATTCGTCCATCCACAGTATTACTCGACAACGAGCAGAAACGGAAGGCGCTTTTGTGCCGCTCCCTCATTTGGCACCAAGCTCCTTTGGAGCCACAAAAGTGACATTGAAACTGCCCTCTGAACCATTTTTCGTGACATCCAGAACCCTTTCCTCACGGGAAAATGACCCTCGTGCCGCCTGAATGGTTTTACGGGCCATTATTTTGTGACCTGAACACTTCCTTTCGGAACGCTTTCCTCCAAGAAGAAGGGGTTCGCTTCTTGCCGACCAAAGGCATGTCGAAGTACAAGAACTGGTGCAGCGGGGTGAACTTCCCCGTGAACTTCACCACCTGCGGAAGGCTCGAGCCAATGAGCCCAGGAAGCCCCGGCCTCGGGGTTGACCCAGAGACCTCCAAAATGCTTTCAGCCGTTGGGCCTAGGTCCTCCAGATTTGAGAGGTTAGAATAAGGGTACCAACTTGCTTCTGTAGTCCATTTTAGTAGAAAAAACCCTCCCCGAACACAGGGTAAAAGGGCACTACTGGGGGACCCGGGTGAAGAAAAAACATATGATGGTCTTTGACTTCCTGCGTGGATTGGCAAAGTCCAAACTTTGCCTTTACTCTATGGCTTTCCCAAAAAGTCTACAGTCCTAGGAATGAATTTACTCAACAAGGACCAACAGTGGAAACCCTGTTGGTCAGATCCGGATCCGGTCGATTTGCTTTGGTAGGTGAGATAAAGGTAGGGAACTCACTTCCGGACGGCTAAAGTGCAACTCGGGGCAGATTAAGACAAATTAAGCCAGTCCACCATTTGGGTGCTTATTTCATTTGTTTCAGGGTGCCCATTTCAGACTGATTCAAAGGGAAACCAAAAAGGAAAGCCGCCCTTTTGATGGCCCTCATTGTTCACGCCTCCCCGAAAAACCCGCGACGGCACCATAAGACCAGCAGCACCCCACAGCCCAACCCCCTGGAACCGAATCTCCTGAACCCTCCCTGAAAGCTGCCCACGCTTTCAGCCGCTGGGGGACCAACAAAAAGCAGGGTGCCCCTATTTTGAGACAAACCCTTTCGTGCTTTTTGTGAACCCATGGTTCGAAGAAGGTAAGTGGGGTCCCACTCCCTAACCACACCAAACCACAAATCTCCAAACATCCAAGCAAGGGCAAGCTGACATTTGCTTACTATGTCCTATTTGTCCCCTGGTAACTGAAATGACTGTGGGTCAAAAATAGGTACCCAAAATGGAACGCTGGTAAATGGAACCAAGAACTAAAAACCTGCGGTCCAATTCCTGGTGGGATAAAAAATTGACCCATACCCAAATGGACACTACTCCGGAACACCGAATAAAACAAAAAAAAAAGAACACGGCTCCGGCTCTAAACCCCCCAGCGAGGGAAGCCGAAAGGGTGCCTGCCTCAAGCCTTAAGAACACCACACCGCCAGATCTTCCATTTGCTGATTCGCCCCCGCGAAAAATAAACATGTTTCCAGTAGTGAAGTTGATTTCAACTTAAAAACCAACCGGGGAAAACAAAACATATTAAGCAAATGGAAGAGATTCAGCTTCCCTCGCTGTGTGGTTTGGAGCGAGCCGGAGCCCAGTGGCTTGGGTTTGGGTTTTCCGGAGGGGGGTCCCACACAAACCCTCTATAAGAAGACTGAAATCCAAATCCAAGAATTGTCATTGTTATCACTCTGTTGTTTTCAGATGAATATTTATTGTACATGCGGAAAGAACATTTATGTTGAGGGAATGTCAATCAAATCAAACTTGCTTGACATATTCAAAGAGCCTCACCTCATGTTGATGAACCCTGGGCTTCCAAACAACCATTAAAACAATGGAGGTTCATATTTCACCACCATTGTTCACCCTTCAGCATTGTCATCATCCAAATTGGGTCCCAAGGCCGTTCTTTTGATGGGGGCAAGTTGAACCCTGGGATCAAGTATAACTAGGTCCCCCAGTAGTGCCCTTTCTCACCCTTTTGTTGGGGGGACGGTTCCCCTACTAAAATAGACTACCGAAAAAAATGGGGGCAAGTTGAACCCTAGGGTGGAGTTGAAACACCAAAAAAATCGCTCGCCTCACACGCCAGCCGCGAGTCGCAACCGCACGAGCGCGCCTCTTGGGCGACCACTCCGCCCAGGAAGGCGCTCATGGGGCAAATCCTCGTTTTCTCGCGCGTGAACTCGGGACCCGTGTTTTGGTTCGGGGTAAAAAATGGCTATGGGTCAAAACCCCAATCGTTATCCCCCAGTGAAGATCCCAATAGGTTCTAAAGTGGGTGGTGAATTCACCTACCCCAAAATGGGATCGCATTGGTGTTGACCCACGGCCAAATGAGTCATACTCAAACCCCAGAATTCAAGTGGGCGATCCCCGGAACCAAGAATTACCAAGGCGGATATCCGCACATTCTGGCAAGGGGACGTCACTACCCTCCCAGGTTTTGAGCACATGAATCCCCATTATCCATCCCAGGTCCATGATCGAAGCCTCAAATACTGGGCTGTGACATCCGAAAACCAGCAAGAGGCTGCAGAATTGCTGACATGATGCTAGGCTGTCCTCAGATCCCCCGCTAAAACTGACTAACTTTTAGTGGGCTAAATGGAAACCCTCTAAACACTAAAAAAGCTAAAACGCTAAGGAACCGGATGGCTGGGAGCCACCCAGGATGTTCCCATGATCATGACTTCATCCATCTTTCGTCTGGTACCCCCAGTTGCCCAGTGGGTGCCAGATAGGTCAACCAACTAAAGAAGGGGCTCCGCCCACTCCATCGCATCCGAGTTCATGGTGGAGGGGACACTACCCTCCTGTCCACGTTGGCACTTCACAGAGGGTCCCTTTCAGAGGAAACTGATGCACTAGGCCCTCCCACAAATGCCTTCTGTTTGTGGGAGGAAGGGTAATATCGTAAACATGTGACCCTTTGGTGGACATCAAAAGGTGGGGATGCGTGTCCACCAACTACTTCTGAGGTGCTTCCCTCCAAAATTCATAGCCCAATTAAACGTAGCCTTTTTTTCGCGGGAAAACCACAGGTTCCGTGAAGACCTTGGAGAATTACTCACCATGCTGACCTTGTTGGGAGCAAAGAATGGCCGGAGAATCCCTTGTAAAAGAGAAGACAAGAGATACATTGGGGCTCCCGCAGAAAGACTTTCGGAACCCTTTGCTGAGAACCGCTTCTAAGATTCCTTTAGAACCTTGATTACCACACACATAATTCCACACATACACACACAGACACACAGACACACAGACGCACACACACACACAGACACACACAGACACACAGACACACAGACACACAGACACACAGACACACAGACACACAGACACACAGACACAGAGACGCACACACACACACACACACACCCACCCACCCACCCACCCACCCACCCACCCACGCACGCACGCACGCATGCACGCACACACTCACACGCACGCACACACTCACACACGCACACACGCTCACACGCACACACGCACACACGCACACACGAGACACGCACACACGCACACACGCACACACGCACGCGCACGCGCACGCACAAGCGCACGCGCACGCGCACGCACACGCGAAAGACACGCACACGCACACACGCACACACCCACACGCCCACCCGCCCACCCGCCCACCCGCACGCGCCCACCCGCGCCCACCCGCGCACGCGCACTCGCACGCGCATGCGCACGCACACGCCCGCGCCCACGCACACGCACACGCCCACGCCCACGCCCATGCACACGCACACACGCAGACACGAACACGCACACGCACACGCACACACGCACACGCACACACGCACACACACACACACACAATTGCCTTCTGAAAATTACTTTTGAGTTCCAGATTTCGTGTGGACATAGCAATTAGAGGCCTTGGACACATAGATGGATTTCCCGTGTAAATCTGTGGAACCCATCAATTTTCAACCAAACTATCGGTGTCTTTCTGCTGCCCTGCTAAAAGTCAAGAACTTTTTGTGGTTAAAAAAACGGAAACCCCATGAGTTGGCAAAAAGTTGTTCAGTCCTAACATCCCTTCACAAAATGCCCCAAAGTACCTATGGAACCCCTGAGGTCCTATCTTCCCTGAGCCCCCGGCATGCACCGCGAGAACATCGCCACCTTCTTCACTACCTCCACCTCCACCTGGCTGTGGTTGTCAAAACCAATGGGATCCCATTTTGGGGTAGGTGCACCACCCAAGTCTATTTTCGTGAGGATTGGGATGTTCACTGGGCGTACGGGATTTTGACCCATGGCCACCTGAAGTAAAAGGCGCGACTGCGCGACAGAGAAACGGATTTTTTTGGAGCGCGATTGCTTGGTGGACTCTCGACCCTGTCTTCCATTTGCGAATACATTTTTCTGGTGAAAAAAATACAATGCCAGGTGATAGATTCCATTTAAAGCCAACAGTGCAAAACAGCAAATATTCTCAAGCAACAGGAAGCTTGTGAGACCAAAGTAGTTGATTCCCATGACTACTTTACCATGTGAAAGGTGATTGGTATCACCCAGACAATGGCCCTAAAACCCAATGTTCCCCAACCACACCTGTTGAGACGAGAAAGCCAAATAGTACCAAGGCGTCACGTTTGCTTCTCTTTCGGAACAGGGGGTTCTTCCAAAGGCGTGTGTGGTGTCCGCTTTCAGATCCCCTGCTCAAAGTTACGAACTGGTGGGTTAAATACGGCAACCCAACCACTAAGCCAACTAACTTGTTGGCGCTCGTGGGAATGAACGCAGGGGTCCGCTCAAAGGAAACCACAAGGGAAGGCTTATCTCGGGGTCATTCCAATTCTCATCGCCTATCGCACCAGCAAGTAAAGTCCACTCAAAACCTAAGTTGAACCAGACGACTCGCTGGTTTCGAGCCACCAAGTGAGGGCTTGGAGCCGTCGATTCGACGAAGCCAGTTGGCCAATGCTCAGCTCCAGGATGCAGAAATATGGGTGCAACGGTTTTCCCTTGCAACAAGTCTCCAATTGGCGGGGAACATGAAGGAAACCCAACCACTTCATCAACTGACCCGGAAGTGATTCAACATGAAGGCCATTTCATTTGCAACTTGCAAGAACACACATGGGTGATTGATGTGGGTCGTGTAAGGCACGACACACTGCAAGGAAAACCAGCACTAGGCTCAGGCTCGCCGGTTTTATAAAGGTAGACCAGAAGGAACGCCACCATTTTTGGGGGGTCCAAATCCAAAAGAAAGCCCACCATTTTTGGGGGCTCAAAAAAACTCCAAAAGAAAGCCTCCCGTCTGTAAGGGTCCCATCCTTACTTTCGGACGCAGCTTGTCGAGATGGGACGTGCCTCGTCTACGCAAAGAGCAGGATCACCTTCCTTGGTCCTAGCGAAGGCAAATGAGTAATAATCCTTCCCGACGTTTCTTGGTTGTAACGGTTGCCGTCTTCAATTTGGTGCAGCACGGAAAGCCTTAAAGGTTTCAACCCAGTTCAAGTCTAAGGATCCGTTACCCAATAGCAATCAAGCGCTTGTCATGGGGGCTGGGGGGGAGGGAGGGGGGGGGGGGGAGCCCAAATAAGCCCTAAATAAGGCCTTATATTAAGGGCTTAATAAGGGCTTTTGGGCTCCCCCTCCCCCTCCCTCCCCCCCCAGCCCCCATGAGCTTGAGAAGCTTTTTGAGCACATCGGGCAATAAGGCCAAAGCCTGAACTCGGGGTCGACTGGGATTGACCCCGACTTTTTGATACCGTGGATGGACAAAATCATGCACCAAGTTAAAACCATGGGAAACCATTGTTTGTTGGCATTTTCAAGGGAATCATCATCCCATGGTTTCTTAGGTGGTGCAGGATTTCGCGCATCCACAGTATGCTTGGTTGTTTAGGCATCTCATGCTGCACAGCTTCCTGCGCATATTATACTGATTCAGAACCCAATATGTGCCAACAACATGCCATGTCCTAATGCGGCCTTTCAAATCTATCTCTAGCGCCTGTCTCACACGGGCTTCACATATGCATCATAAATAAAGCTGCTGCAAGCTCTTTGTCTATGACTAATGTGTTTGGCATAAGCTGAGCATGCATGTGGGAAATTCTTAGCATGAGTGTAGCACATAATGTCTGACACATGTCTGCTACAAAAGTAGCAAACACCTGGAAACCTAACCAAAACCTAGTATGTCTGTAGCATAGCTCTAGCAAATGTCCGCATAATTTGTTCAAATAAGGTTCAACCTGTGTCTTATGCTTTTTAGTTGGAGCTTGCGTCTAGTGATAGATTACGTCTAGACTCGACTAGTGTTCGAACATGTCGAGAGGTCAAGGGTAGATGTTCGTCATACTTCCTGGGCTCCGGTGCCTTCAACTTTCGGTTTTCCCGGGTCATGTTGAAGGTGAGCAACACAAAATGTACGTTTTCAGATCTGGGCTGTCCGTTTTCAGACCTCCTGCTACACGCTGAACTGGTGGCTTAAACTTGGTTGACGTTGAAATATTTTTCACATGTTTGCTTATTGTGGTTTAGTGGTGGAAATCCAACCACTTAACTGCTAATATATATATATATATATATTCTCCCCTTCCCCAACGACAACCATGTACATGGAAGCTAAGACTAAACAAACCAAACAGATCAAAACCCAAGAGTCCACCAAGATATGACGGAAGTCACACTGCAAGGAGCCGCCCGCGTCAGCACAAGAGCCGCTGGAGCCACAGCTGTTCCAAAGCGCTCTCTCCGAACGTCCGCAGGTCTGCCAAAAGTCGAACGTTTGGTGCGGCAACCACCACGAAGCCCGAAAAACCTACACGCCTAAGGGCACGGATCGCAAAACTAGGCTGGAATTGGGACCCCGGCAAAAAAAAAAATATATATATATATATATCTTTTTTGCTTGGTTAGTGGAAAACAAAACAGAAGCCCAAAAAAGCAAAAAAGCAAAAAGGGGAGCTAATTCTGGGGAAGAAAACCCCTTGGATGGGAAACCCTACAGCCTCAAAGGTGCCCCTCTCCTTGCTGCATTGATTTCCTTCGCCAAGTCCACCTCAGAGCGCCACCGGCTTTGGCCTTTTGGGCACGGTGGTCTCCGGAAGACCTCTTCTTGATCCAAAGCTCCACTAAACGTGGGACGAACCCTGGTCGGAAAAACAAAACAACAACAAACATGGGTTTATTTTTTGAGGCACATTGGGAAAGTTAGCCATGGTCAAAGCTGGGGGCCGAACGGAATATTGATCAACCCCCCATGTGGGCTTTGTGGGGAAGGCTGGATCCTATGACAGTATGACAGTCCCTGAGATTTGTCTTTTTCTTGAAGCAGGCATTTGTTTGGTTCTTTCAGCAAGCTAACCCTCAATGTTTCTGTGTGTCTGTGTGCGCGCGGTGCGGGTTCAGGAAGTCAAATACCATCCCCCACCCCCCCCCCCCCAAACCCGCCAAAGCATGTAGTCATTGAACACGCGCACAGGGCAAACCCCGACTAAACTCCCGAGGGGATGAGGTCGTTTGATCATGGCCTAGACCGTCTAAAGGCATCCGACCCCTGACTCGTGGCCTGCGGAAGACTTGAGACCCGGGCGCATTCCTGCGCAGCCGCCGCATCTCGCACGGGCGGCAGCGCCCCGTGCTTTTCCCTATAGGCCATCACTGCCTGGCGAGCCGCATGAGAATTCATCCCAGTTAACTGTACAGTTCGGCCATGGCCAAACAAGTGGACGGGTCCTTCTGCAACGGAAACACAGTTTGTTCTTCGGAACGGCTCGCTCAAGAAAGTTGCCAAGCTTCCTTCAAATGCGCTCTTCTCATGTCCAACGGCAACCCTTTCCCAAATCAAACGACATAAGAATGACATGTCAACTTTGGATTCTAGTTTGCCTGTGATGTCCCCTTTCTGGACTTGACAAAGTGAAAATCCCAAGCTGGATGACCTCGGGGTTGAGACCCAAAGGAAACCAAGTCAGCATTAAAAAAGGCAGACCAGACTCATATCGGGGCGTCCTTTGAGTGGGGAATCAAATTCCAGGAGGATTCCTGTGAACAATCTGGTCCTCCAGTTGAATTCGAAGTTGTCTTTGTCATCTTTCCTCAGGACGACTAATGGTCAAACCACAGACGACCTCTGCTACGCAGGTCCTCCAGTGGAATTCTTCCGGAAATCAAATTGTAGGAGGATTCCTGTGAACCATCTGGTCTTGAAATTTTCCAGGACCCGTCCCAACTTTTTGTGAACATGACAGGACTCCCAAATTTGTGTGTAGCGTGTGGTGCAGAACATGCAGGCTCACCTCATTTGACAGGATACAAATTCTACTCTGGAATCCTTGGAAGAGGGGTTGGCTAAGTGCAAACACATCCGCGATGATTCACCAACCAAACATAAAATATGGCACCCGTCCGAACATTTCCGGAACCCGTCCCAACTTCCGGAACCCGTCCCAATTTTTGCACAAGGCTTCTAAGAATATGGAACAACTTCCTGTGTGCTGGAATGCTTTTTTTTGTAATCCCCTGGTTTCAAACGAACCCATCACTAGCGAGTAGCGCTCGCTCGTCCAATCGTCCAATGGTCCAATCGTCTCTCGCGCCTGCACGGCAAAGTGCAGCTGCTCGGAGCGCCCGAACTTGGCCATGTCGGGCACCTCGTGGCCGGCCCCCTCCGCGTGTTTTTCCCCCCGTGGCCCCGCCCGACGGCCAACCCGGAGAAAAAAGGGTGAAACACGCCCGGGAAATCAAAACAGGGTGAAACACACCCCTATATATATGTTTGGCCCTGCTACGGAATAGAATGGAAAGCCAAAGGGAAACGCTATGTCCATTCTGTTCAACCATCGTTCTTTTCAACAACAGCCGTTTTCCCTGGGTTTCAGGAGGCTTTCCAGAAAGAAGGATCCCTGGAAAGAATGGGCACGGCACCCCTGGATGGTGAAAAAACGCGCCTCGGAAATTGAGGCACATGGAGTTTGAGGGATTTGTTCCTTTTGGAAAAACACAAATCAAAGGCAGGCTTGTTAAGCCCGGGAAAAGTTCAAAGCCCCAACATGGAAAAACCAGGGATTCTCCTGGAAAAAAGAACCAGTTTGTGCAAGTTGAGCCCAGGACAAGTTTGAAGTCCCAAGCCAGTGGAACTTCCCTTGGAAAAACAAACAGTTTGTGGCTTTTTAAGGGGCCCACCCGGGGAACTTGTAAAAAGTCGAGGAACTGAGAATTTATAGTTGGTCTGAAAAAGCACACATTTGTTGCTTATCACTCAAATTGCAGCCAAACCCCAAACAGTGCTTTAAAGTCCGAAACGGCACTCAGGGAGTGAGGGTGTCTTTTGGGAGGACCAGTTTGCGGAAAGCAACAGATTAGAACTTTCAGACGTCTCATCGAAGGATTCAAGAAGCCCCAACCCCCCAGTGGAATTTATATGGGAAAAAACAACAACTTGCCACTCTTTTTATGTTGCTTTTAAAGGGGCCCACCCCGTCCGAAGATGGAATCAGCCCAGCCAGGTGTTGTCGGGACCCAACCCGGAAACCATAAACGGAATTTTGAACCCTCCCTGTGAGCTGCCCCATTTATCACCTCGATCGAGCCTGGCAGACACCCCAGAAACGCTTTCATCAGCCCCTCGAAAAAGAGAACCCAAACTTTCCAAACTGAGGCTCCAAAAAAAGAATAGCAAAGGGATGTTGAAGGAAAGCCCTCAATCAAAGTCTCAGTTGTTCAGTGACCCTGGAAAAACGCTTCCATGTCGGTGAGAAAGCGCAGGTCACAGGGGCATGCCGCCACCGCCACCAAAAAAAAGTGGAAAAAGGGGGCCACTGAACAACTGAGAAGCAGCGCAAACCAGAAGAAGAAAAAAAACGCCTGGAGGCTTGGGATTTCGTACTTCGTGCGGCCAGATCGCTTTCCCAACACGTTCCGCCCCCCCCCCCCCCGGCTCCGCCATAGAAAAACGACAAGAAAGCGCCAGGAACCTAAAGCCTTTGGCGTTTTGCTGTGGACGAACTTCTACACCTCCGATGGATGAAACCCGAATGGGACAAACCACCTGAACTGGTGCAAGCTTTTGGTGCATGATTTTGCAGGCTTAAGCCCCTTGAGTCATTGAGGCAGTCAGGGTCCTTTGTAGAGGTGCCACCCTGGGCGAATGTTGTCCATGTTCATCCGACGTCCATCGACGAGACAGCGCTGCGCTCAAACGTCTGACAAATCTCATCTTGCGCCCGGCTGTGTGTAAGGGCTGTGGCAGCGCCCCAACACACCCAGAAACCCGATTTCTAGGGCCCTATCTAGAAGAAACATCTAGGTCAGTGATACCAGAGATCTCCCAGGCTAAAAAAGGGACTTGCGGGGAACGGTATGAATCTTCGGCCCTTTGGTGGAATCAGAATTCGGTGTTCATTCATGCTCGCCAACCTCACATCCTATTCAAAATCTAAAAATGATGTGGAAAAGGCCCTTGCCCTGCCCCCAAGTTGCACACGACAGGCAAAGAGAAGAGTGTAGGCATGCCTGATCTATATAGTGTCAGAGCCATTGCCAAAGGTTTCACTTTTCGTGGGTTTAAACCCTGCACTAGATTCCCGGCTAGTTGCAATACCTCAGGTTCTCATTGTGGCTGAATAAACTGGGTCCATTGAAGTGTCATCATCATTCAATCCCCGGCCACGGTCAATTCCGCCACAGATTTCGGTGATTACTAGTGACGTCCAGACTATTGCCTAAACAACTTCTTGTCGGTTTCCCTTTGAAGGCAATCAGGCTCTGCCTATTGAAACATATGTCTGCCATGCCTTGGAGGACGGATCGTTCAACCGGCGAAGCCGGAACATGTGCAATCATTGGCCAGTGATTTCAACACGTCGCCGAGGATTCATTGCACCTCCGGCAAGCCTCAGGTTCTCAGGCCTGGCAGCTTCAATGCTTCCTTGTCCTAACCTCACCCATCGCCGAAAGGAAACGCATGTCCAGCGCCTTGTAGGAACGAAGTCGGAAGCGACACGTAAGGGACGAAAACCAAAACCGAAAAGGCTGCACACAGGCGATGACTAAATCAACAAGCACGCGGACTCCGGCGATGTTTTTTCGGCCCGTTCAAGAGAACACAGACTTAAAACCAGCCATGTACACCGTATTTTAGGAATTTGAAGCGTTGAAACGGTATCAGGCTTCGCCCAACCAAGCTAGTTGTGCCTCCTTTGTGACTCTGAATGATTGTTGTCCATATTTAGTGAGCCAAAAAAAAACATACTGTAAGTGAAGATCGGAGGAATGGGGAAGCTCTGGCACAAAATCAGGGAGACATCAATTGGCTTTCTCCGCGGACCACTGGGGACCCCTGCATGCATCTCTTCGCCTGCATGCTTTGGCTGTGCCTGGGCTGGACACGTACGGCTAGAAGCTGGGTGTGTCGTTTTCGGGTCTGTTGGACCGGTTTTTAGGCTATTTTACAGGGGCAACAGGGAGGCCACAACTTTTGGGGGTCCCCAAAACAAATTGACACGCCCCAAATTCCAGAGATACAAATCACTGGTCGTCGGGATCAGGGGTACTGAAACAGGGATCATATTGTTCCCCCCTGAAAAAAAAAGATCACAACGGCAAAGCCTGTAAAAAGGAAAGGCCAAAAGCAAAGCAGTTGTCTAGGCCGGAATTTCGGACCCCAGCAAAAAACAATGCCTGGTTAGTGGAAAACAAAGGGACCCCCAAAAAAGCCAAAAAAGAAAGGAGCTAATTCTGGGGAAGTTGTGGCTGTTCATGGGTGATACATCTACAGGCACCATCCATGAACCAAAACTGCCGTCCAGTTTTGTTAAAATATGGCTTACAGGGGAGACCCGTATGTAGGAAGCACCCGAGACGTCCAGCTGTGGCCCTTGTCCTTCCATTTGCTTAAGTCATCCGGAAAACAATATATTCTTCAGCACATGGGGGTTGATCAAAAGGACCTTTAAGTGGGATTACCATTGGGGAAAGACACTAAACAAAATGCCATCTCCCATCGAATTCCGCCAGTGGCCCATGGTCATTTGGGGTCCCTAAATGCAATATTGACCAACCCAGGGGGTTTTGTGGCAAAGACTTGGGCCTTGCCAGGCTGGTCTCGCGCCGGCTCGGTCGCCGGCGCTTCTCGCCGGCGCTTCTCTCGACTCAAAGGCTCCGGCCAGGGATTGCTGGTAAGAGAAGAACTGGATCGGGTGAGGGACCTGCGCCGGTCATCGGATCGCTCCAACATCGTTCGTTGACGCGCTCGTCTAGGGCTGAACAAAGGGATCCTGGATCTCCAGAAACCCGAGTCCCAACTTGCCTGCTTTTTGGATACCGTACCAAGGGGATTTGGACATGGAAAAAAACAGTTGTAGGGATCCTGATCCCAATATATCCCTAATATTCAGGTCCCAACTTGTCTGCTTTGTGGGTACCATGCTTGCACCAAGGGGATTTTGGGCATGGGGGAAAACTGGGGAGAGCTGGTTGATTCCAGTTTTGGGGGCCGACACCAGACTTGAATGTCCTGATAGCTGGCTGTTGTGGACCACTGAATGGGTCACCACAGACCGCCAGTATTGTTTTGCTTTTGTTTTGGCTGACTTTGAAGGACAACTCGCCAAACACAAGGAAACACGCCAGGGACAAACGGCGGGGCCTCATTCAATGAACCCGCACTCTTTTGATTGCGTATCCCCTACCTCGAGGGTGAGGGGGATGGGGTCCCCAATTCCACTTTCTAGTCTTCCACACAAAAGGACAATGGACTTATACATGTATACATTATATATATATGCTCCAGGCGTCCCCTCCCTTTCGCTAAGGTGGATTGTTGGTCAGAACCTGAGTCCTTCACATGACTGGCTGGCTCACCGATCAGATCTCCCGATCAAGACCGCGCGTTTAGCCTTACTTCCAACTTCCGAGCTTTGGAACACTATTTGGGGAACCTTGGGAAGACCCAGACCTGGACACTAACTAACTTGCCCCTGAGCCATAATCAAAATCGTGGGCTTGTCTTTTGGTTTCCCTTTAAAACCACCAAAACAAAAAAAACTTGGTTGACGTTGAAAGGGGAGCACACATTTATTTTTTAGCAGTTAAGTGGATTTGGAGTTCAACCACTAAACCACAATAAGCAAACATGTGAAACATGTTTCCCAACAACAGCCATGAGAAGACGCAGCCATACAAAAGCTAGCCTCAGGTCCACTAACATGGAACGAACACCTATCGTCCACCTCCTTTGGAGAATCGAGCAAGTAAGCAAACTTTTCTATTCCCAGCATCTCGAACATCAATGGGTTGGTTGGAAAAGCCAAGTGGGTTTGTCGTTTTTAAATCGCCCCCCAAACTGGTGGGCTTCCTTTTGGTGTGCTTCCATTTGCTTAAGACCCCTGGAAAAATATATATTTCGCGTAGTGATTTCGTTCCCTTTAACGCTGAGGGGGAAAAAAACAAAGGTTCCTTTCAGCAGATGGAAGCAAGAAAGCCCACAGATACGGAAAGCCCAACTTGAAAGCCCATTGGCTTCCATTTGCTTTCCGCTTAAGACCACTGAAAGGACGAGACGACGGGAGGAAAGATGCACGATACGAGGGCGCATCCTGCGAGCTCTACGGCTCCATGGAAGCCACAGATTCGGTGGACTTCCTCAAGCCGAAGCTGTGCAAACGGATTGTCTCGTGGGTGTCCCCGACCACCCAAAATTTAGGTGCTTTCCCTTTGATTTTTCTGGAACACTGCAAAATCTTGGTTGCTTTCTGCCCGCCTGCAAACAGTTTTCAACTTCTTGGGGGTTTAGCGGAAAGCCCAACTTGATTTCAACCAAAAAGTTGAAGCCTAAAGATCCGTTGCCCACTAGCAGTCTAAAGATCCAACCCAATAGCAGTAGAGTGGTTCCTCCTGACGGCATTCCCACGGCATGACACATCAAGCTTCGAGATTGACACTTCTCAGCGAGGCCCTGCAGCCGCCTCTCAGGTCTGCCACATTGAGTGCCTCCAAATAGCCCATGATCAAGTCGATGTCCGCAGCATCCCAGAAGCCCTTCTTGCTGAGAAAGGCTCAGTACCCGTTCCTTCACATTCAAAGACCTGAATGCGAAAACTCTAATGGCACAAATCAAGCATTCGAGCGCCGCTATGCGGCTCAAAATGATTTCTCGGCTGGAAAAAGACGCCCCCCAGTTTCGGACTACCCTCCCTCTCACTAACACGGCACCTGACAGGGGGTCTCTTCAAGAGGAAATAGATCCTCCATAGGTGCCATATCAACGTGGGCGGAAGGCCCCCGCAAACCAAAACACTGTGGTTTGCCTATTGTTTTCTCTTTAACACAACAAAAAACAAGGGTACCAACTCAAAAAAAAACAACCCCCAGAGGTTGTCCTTTAAAACAACTCTATCAATGGTGGTGTTCCTTTTGTTTTCCATTTAAACCCACAACAGTCCGGTACCATTCCCCCCCCAACCCCCCCGAGTTCCGACCGACCAAAGCCGCCGGGCCAAAGCCGCGTGCTTCGGCCCCGAGCATCGGGCTCCGCGCCTTGGACTGGGTCACGACGCCATCGGACACGTAAGCCTCAGACGTCAAAGCTCGGCTTGGACGTCCATCCGCTCGCTCGCTCGGGGCAGAACTCTGAACAAAAACAAAAACGTTTGTCCAGTATAGGACAGATGTGTAAATGCATTGTAGGCATGTTATGTATCCAGGTATGCATGTATGTAGGCATGCATGTTATGTGTGCATGCATGTTATGTGTGCATGTTATGTGTGCATGTTATGTATGCATGTATGTTGGAGGATGTGTGTGTGTGTGACACGGATGTGTGATATGCATGTCGGCGAACAGGCCGTGGCTTGGCGGGCTTGGTCCATGGTTGGCCGGTGCCTCTTCGGGCTCCTTGGGCGCCTTTGGAAGACGGAAAAACCAGCGGCAATAGGCAACGCCCATTTTTTGGGGGTCCCAAATACAAAATTTTGGGGGGTCCAAGTTTGGCAACTTTTCTTTTTTTTGGGGGGGGAGGGGTTCCAAATACTAAACCAAGCACGCCCGCACCTTTGGACAAATTTTAGGTGGGGGGGTCCAACTCCTAAATAAAACAAACCCAAATGGAAGGTTCCATGCCACGCCATGTGGTTTCAACCATCCACGTGGCTTTAACACCTTTCTAGGGGCGGATTCCCCATTCTGCTCATCGCTCTTGTCAATAACCAGCCGTTTTTTCATTGGGTTTTCGGAGGTAGAAAGATTCGGATCCCTGGAAAGAATGGCGAAGGTACCCTTAGAACCTTGACTTACCGTCCTAAGACACGAGATGGAAGGCATTTGTCAGCACGGCCCCTCGCTCATTGGCAAAAGGTGTAAGCCTTTGAAGTTTGGGTATGCTATGTCTAAACCCGAAGTTGCAACTGAACCACCCACAATGGTTCCAACGGCATGGCAATCTATGGAAGTACATACCCCCTGTTCATACCCCTTACCTTTCGTGGTTTTTCCAACCCACTTTCTAGGGCTATATACCCCTTTTGGGGAGAGGATATGGTATGAACATCAGGCCTCTCAGGGGTTCATTTGTCTAAGGGGCATCAGGGATCCTTACATTATACAGCTGAACATTGCCTTGTAAATGGTGGTTTCAACCTTTATTTTGGTGTTGAAAAAGCCATGTTTCAAATGGTTGCAACATGTATCTCTTTTAAGGAGCCCTGGGTATGTAAAAGGGGTACTTCAGCATTTGTGGAGGCCAAGCCACGGCCTGGCAACTAGGCATGCTGCACTGTACCCAGACGTGTCCTCGATCGTGAAGGAGTAAGGTCCTAGCACTCGGATCGGTGGCTTTCTGCGAAGCCCTGCGAAAAGTATGTTTCAAAATGTTTAAACCTTTAGTGGGTTTCATACGGAAAACCCATTAGCTGGCAAAAAGTGGTTCAGTCCTAACCTCCCTTGGCAAAATGCACCAAAGGATTGGTGGATCAGTAGGGGTTGGGGATGGAGCTGCAAGGCAGAAAAAAACATGAAAAAACACCCTGAATACTCGTCAGGGATCGATAGAGTCCACACCTGTCCACCTACCCTCCCCCCGGCAAATGTAAAGGGTGTCCTCGATTAGGCCCCCTGGAAAAAAGCAACAAATGTCCAACAGGGGAAAACTGATGAGGAAACGCCCTGGAGATCGCTGTAAAAATTACGTCTCTAGACACGCGCGAAACCACCGTTGCGATGGTTTGAGATGTTTGAGCAAACTGCAATCGCTTTGCCTGAAAAGGGGGCCAAGGTCTCTCCTGCAGACTAGCATGGAATTTGACAAACATCCCATTTAGAAAGGAATGATGGTTTAAACCATGTTCGCAACCTAACTACACACATTACTCCGTGATGACAAGGCAACTTGGTTCGATAGCATCTGCAATCCCATATTCCAACAATTTGGGTATTACTCAAAGTACCGGACCCCTTTTGGTTAAAGGGCAACCAAAAGGAAATGATTACTACCTGGGACCCATTTCTATATTGAAAAATGCCCATTGAGGCCTTTTGCGAAGAAAACAAACACATTTCGCCACCAAAACTTGGTTGTTGTTGACCCCCGTGCAAAAAGTTTAACTTTTTGGAAGTTTAGTGGCAACCCCCTTGATTTCCCCAAAAAGTTAAAGTCTCAAGATCCCACCCAATAGCAGTCAAGAAAACGCGGTGGACCCACTCGCTCGCTCGCGAGTTTGAGGCGCCTGTCACCTTGATCTGCCGGGGCTTGCCATCGTTCAGCTGCGTCATGCCTTGGACCTTGGATGCGACAAGGAGTCACGCCATCCGTCGCTGGGGGGGGGGATCGAACGACCTTCTTGACCCCGTGAAGCAACACCAGATGTTTCACTAGTTGGCTCTTCTTGAAGCTGTTGACTCGCAATGCGCATCCTTTGGCCAAGAGTTATCTTTTCACACGCCGCTAAAAGCGTCACGTGTGAACCGCTGCTGTCCTTCAGGCCAAAGGGGGTGCCGAGGTGATGCTGGTGGACAAAGTCCGCTTTCCGGTTGGCATAGAAAAAAACCTGCGAATACTGGAATTCACCACCTACTAACTGGTGCGAAATGGATCTTGATCCACAGCATCACCTTTCCGGATCTAAAACATGCAACTACAAAACAGGTCGGAGACACCAACGTGAGGGGCGAAGCAAAGCCTAGGGCCGTATAGTGTAATGCGCCAAGAGCCGCAGGGTCCCTGAACCTAAGGAATGCCGTCTGGCCTGTTTGGGAGAGGGTCAACCGCTTAAGAGCACACACCTTCTCTTATGACCCTTTGACTAAACTCGATGTTCAATCTCACAACCTGTTCAACTTACCTGAACCCTCAAACTACCCTTGAAACAAGTTCTGGCATCATCCAATTTTCAAAGATAGCTTGCGGGTCAAAAGGGCCCCTGATCTTCGCCCAACTCCGGGGTACATATGTTGCGTATTTCGTCTATACCCGGACTCATGCCCGGACACCCTAGTTTAAACAACCACTAGGGTTTAACTCCCAAGAAAATAATGACGTCCTAACCCAAAATAATGGAACTGGCTCGGAAACCCTGACTCAAATTCCCAGTGGCCGTGGGAAAATAAGGGCACCCTTTGTTGGTTGGTTGAGTTTAAAGGAATCGGAACCCTTACCCCCAAAAAAGTTGTAAAAAAAGGGCGCCATGGGGCAACAGAGCTGACGTACCTAACAAAAACAACAAGCTAAAACAAGAACATCGAGAAGGACATGTACCTCGCGAAACAAAAAAACAACACACACACACATCGCCGGCATATCTCGGCGAGAGGCTTCTCGAAAGACCACCCAGTCGCCGTCTTGGAAGCCGTGGCGCTTGTCTTGGTGCGTATGCACCTGAGCGAATCAAAACCCCAAACCGCTGGGTTCCCTTCATGTTCCCTTCATGTTCCCTTCATGTTCCCTTCATGTTCCCTTTGGTTCCCTTTGGCTTCCCCTTATCTGAAACACCCAAAGGGGGTTCGTTCCCTCGAAAAGCGCTCCATCACAGTGACAATCAAACCGATTGGTATTAAAATGGTCCACCCAGAAGCATGTCAAGCATTAAGAATCGGGTGAAATAATGGCCAGAGACAACAGAGTACGTGCACCGACTGGAGTGAAGTATCATCATCACCTGAGTCAGAATCAAAACCCGGTATTAAAATGGTAGTAAACTTGGCTGGAATTAGGACCCCCGCAAAAAATGAGAACGTTTTTTTGCCTGGTAGTGGAAAACAAAGGGACCCCCACAAAAAATAAATAAGTAGGGGAACTAATTCTGGGGAAGTAAAATGGTTCACCCAGAACCATGTAAAGCATTGAGAAGGCGGCCGCAACTATTTATGGTTGGGAGTGATTATCCCTTGCTAACCTTCACTTACCCGGGTTTTGAGCAAGTGACTCACCTGATTGTATGAGAAGTGGGTGAAATCTTAGTGGGTCCGGAAACTCATTGTTCCACCAAGGGGCTACCAGAGTTAGTTTGACAAGGTGTAGGCGATGGCAGGAAAGTAGGTGGAATCTTAGAAGTGGGCGTCAAGATTGTCGAAGTGCAGTGGAATCTTAGACGGCCAAGATGCTTAGAGCTTCTTACTTCCCATGGAGCGTTTGGTTTGAACAATGCTGAAACCAACGCCGCTCTAAGGGTCATTTGAGGACACTGCACCCTGACAAGAGAAATGGGTCCAAAACTCATTTTTCCACCAAGGGGCTACCAGAGTTCATTTGCAAAGGTGTAAACCTAGGCAACAACCACAACCTCACTGTCGTGGAACCGCAAACTTCGGGTCCCTATACTCACTTCCTGAGTCAACAAACATCCAAATATGCTGTTTGTCACTAAAGCGGGGGTTGATCCATATTCCATTGAGGGCCCCAAGATGACCATGGGCAACTTCTCACATTTAGTGACGGTCATCTATTGGGACAGGTGCACCAGTGGGCGTCTGGGACTATGATTCACTTAAGTTGACGGTCCAAACTGGTCCAAACCCTTCCATTTGCTTAAGCCTTTTCGGGGGGAAGAGCAATGAAAAGAACAAAAAAACGATCGAGTGGATTGGCCAAAGAAGTCCCAAACTGTTTACTAGGCTGTCCGTTTGCAGATCCCCGGCTAAAAGCTTAACTTTTAGTGGGCTAAATGGAAAACCCCACTAATACACTGCAAAGCTAAAAAGCTAAGGCGATGGCTGGGAGCCAAGAAGTAAAATGGTCTTCTCAACCAAGCTTAAAGTCTTTGAACTCACGGAGTGAGAACCCTTGCACCGCAGGTCTCAAACATTTCGAGAGAAGCATATTTGGCTTTGAAACAGAGCCACGCTTTCCTGTCGTTCCTGAAAAAAGGTTCAATGGAGACGGGTCAGGGCATCCACGGACCGGGATAGAAACCCCTCAAGACCCTTTCAAGGCCCCAAGGGCCCATCACTTGGCCGTGTTTGGCGGGGTTGGGGTGTTCGTAGGGTCCTTGGCAAATTATACTTCTTCATTCATTTATTTATTTATTTGCCACCTGGTTCGCGATCGACCTCCTGACTGCCAGGTGATTGTGACTCATGTGACTCTGCTCCGTATGAAGGGCGTTAAGGGACATATGGGAGATTGCAGGGTTGCCCTCGTCTCCCTGGGGAAACCCTTAGCGCCCTTTATACGGAGCAGAGTCACAGGAGGTCGATCGCTAACCAGGTGGCAAATAAATGAAAGAATAAATGCATCGATACAAACATGTTACAAAAGATGAAAAAATACTTGAACAAACAAATGAATAAACAAATACGTAAACACATACGATTTGCCGCGCTTGTTAGTGGTTGTCACGTTCCCAGGGATTCACCATCTGACCACGGGCATTTATCCAAAGGTCCTTTACAAGGGATGACCATTGTGGGAAAAATAGGAAACAACAGCGTCATAATCAAAACCTGGTATTAACATTGTCTACCTGAATGCATGTAAGGAAACTCAAAGGCGGCCGCACCTATTTGCGGCTGGGACTGCCCCACTTTCATCTACTCGAATTGGTTTTGCTTGCGGCTCAAGTGTCGCTTGTCACAACTCCTGTGGCACGATTGGGGTTTCCTTCAAAACAGTCCAATGTTGACCCCGGAATAATAAACCTTTCCTGCTAATAGGGGCGAAGGGCATTGCGGGATGCCGGGCAGAATCTGAAGCGAGGCAGCCAAAGCCCTTAGCCCTTGCGCGTAAACCACTTTCAATCCGGAGGAACGGTCTCCCAGTCCCCAAATTGATTCTCCAACTGAAAGGCGCTTGCAATCCTTGCTTAAACATCCATGAGAGGAATCTGCAAAGGAGCGCGGGGGATTTGCACTGGGCTGGAAATAGCCAGGGATGAACAACACCCACCAAGGTTCATGACTGCATTTGGGCTGCCAAATGTGCCATGCACATGACGATGGTTCCACTTGATTCGCCCTACTCGACCCCCCCCCAACAAAACGACCACCATCCTGGGTGAGCCGCCGTTTTCCCACTACGAGAGCTTATTATAACTTGCCCTGATAAGTTGCTTTACCATGCTCTCCACATGATCTCAGATACTCAGTGGATGTCTATGGGAAAATGGCATCTTTTTTTGTTGGTTGACTTTAAAGGGGAACCCTTACCAAACATAAAAATAAAAAGGGCACCACTGGGCAACAGAGTGATGCACTCTTGAGAGGCTTCCTGGAACAAATGACACACTCAAACAGAAAGGCAGCTCTAGGCTGATGTATCTGAGTCTGAGACTGAATCTGGGACCCATGGTCATTCACATTCAACCGCAAAACAAACAAACTTAGGAATGGAACCCTCATCAAGGTTGCAAACCCTTTGCCAGGCCGACAATGCTATATAGTCAAACAAATCCAGGAAAATGGTTCACCGTCCTCACGAAAAGGTTGCCCCAAGGCTCCCCTACCTCTTGGTGGAGTCTTTGGGCTCTTGCTGCTTTGTGGCAAAGCCTCATGACTTTCAAAAAAAGACCGCAAAATGCTCGCGAGGGTCTGAAATCCTTCATTCGTCGTAGAACAGCCAGGAAAGGGTTTCTAGTTCAGGGCCCTCCATCCGGCTGCATTACCAGCCAAGGGTACCGTTTACAAGGTGATAATTCTGGTAACCAGCTTTCTTTTTTTGCAGCCTCCCCACTAAAACTGAGCAGAAGCCAAAAAAACAACAAACCTCAAAATACATGGCAACAGCCGGGAAGATAAATGAAGGTTAATCAGCCCAAAGCCTCCAGGCCAAAGGTCAATTGTTGAGTGAGTACATTCAGCCGAAAATTGTCATGAGATGTCATGAGGCTTTGCCGGCTTCAGAGCGGCATGAAAGTTGCTCGCGCTGGTGGGGACATGGTCCCCATGGCGCCCTTTGATTGCTACAACACGCGAAATAGTCACCGAGAGACATTCTCTGTCATGATCTGGTTTGGTTTGAAAGATACCCCAGCCCATCCTGAGTAAAGGCCCTGAACTAAGTGCCCCCAGCGCCAAAAGAACAACCGAGGCATTTCAGCGGCCCGGACTGAGGGCGCAACCGTGCCGGGGCTCTCCAAGGTGATGCCGTTGACTATGGCGCTCCTTGGCTCCTCACCGTCCTGGAAGGAAAAACAAACTGGCGCCCAAGCAAACCTGAGGGAGGGGAGGGAGGGAGGGAGGGAGGGGAGGGAGGCAGGGAGTGAGTGAGTGCGTGCGTGCGTGAGCGAGCGAGTGAGCGCGTGAGTGGACTGGAGTGGAGTGGAGCGGAGCGGAGCGGGGTGGGGTGGAGTGGAGTGGAGTGGAGTGAACGAGTGAGTTGAGTGAATGAGTGAGTTGAGTGAGTGAGTGAGTCGAGTCAGTGAGGTGAGGTGAGGTGAGGTGAGGTGAGGTGAGGTGAGGTGAGGTGAGGTGAGGTGAGGTGAGGTGAGTGCGTGCGTGGGCGTGCGTGGGCGGGTGGGTGGGTGGGTGCGTGCGTGCGTGCGTGAGCGAACAAGCGAGCGCGTGAGTGCATGGGTGGGTGGGTGGAGAAAGTGGGTGAGTGAGTAGGTGAGTGAGGGAGTGAGGGAGTGAGGGAGTGAGGGAGTGAGGGAGTGAGGGAGTGAGGGAGTGAGGGAGTGAGTGAGTGAGTGAGTAAGTGAGTGAGTGAGTGATTGAGTGAGTGAGTGCGGGCGAGCGGTGCGGACGTGAGTGAGTGAGTGAGTGAGTGCGTGGGGGTGGAGGGTGGTGGTGGGAGGGTGGGTGGGTGGTGTGGGGGTGGGTGGGTGTGTGGGGGGGTGGGTGGGGTGGTGGGGTGTGGTGGGGGTGGGTGGGTGGTGGGTGGGAGTGGGTGGGTGGGTGGTGGGTGGTGGGTGGTGGTGGGTGGGTGGGTGGTGGGGGGTGGGTGGTGGGTGGTGGGTGGGTGGGTGGTGGGTGGGGTGGGTGGGTGGGTGGGTGGGTGGGTGGGTGGGTTGGGTGGGTGGGTGGGGTGTGGGTGGGTGGGTGGTGGGTGGTGGTGGGTGGGTGGGTGGGTGTGGGTGGGTGGGGGTGGTGGGTGGTGGGTGGGTGGGTGGGTGGGTGGGTGGGTGGGTGGGTGGGGTGGGTGGGGTGGGTGGGTGGGTGGTGGGTGGGTGGGTGGGTGTGGGTGGGTGGGTGGGGTGGGTGGGTGGGTGGGGTGGGTGGGGTGGGTGGGTGGGTGGAGTGGGTGGGGTGGGTGGAGTGGGTGGAGTGGGTGGAGTGGGTGGAGTGGAGTGGGTGAGTGAGTGAGTGGTGGGTGGGTGAGTGAGTGAGTGAGTGAGTGAGTGAGTGAGTGAGTGAGTGAGTGAGTGAGTGAGTGAGTGAGTGAGTGAGTGAGTGAGTGAGTGAGTGAGTGAGTGAGTGAGTGAGTGAGTGAGTGAGTGAGTGAGTGAGTGAGTGAGTGAGTGAGTGAGTGAGTGAGTGAGTGAGTGAGTGAGTGAGTGAGTGAGTGAGTGAGTGAGTGAGTGAGTGAGTGAGTGAGTGAGTGAGTGAGTGAGTGAGTGAGTGAGTGAGTGAGTGAGTGAGTGAGTGAGTGAGTGAGTGAGTGAGTGAGTGAGTGAGTGAGTGAGTGAGTGAGTGAGTGAGTGAGTGAGTGAGTGAGTGAGTGAGTGAGTGAGTGAGTGAGTGAGTGAGTGAGTGAGTGAGTGAGTGAGTGAGTGAGTGAGTGAGTGAGTGAGTGAGTGAGTGAGTGAGTGAGTGAGTGAGTGAGTGAGTGAGTGAGTGAGTGAGTGAGTGAGTGAGTGAGTGAGTGAGTGAGTGAGTGAGTGAGTGAGTGAGTGAGTGAGTGAGTGAGTGAGTGAGTGAGTGAGTGAGTGAGTGAGTGAGTGAGTGAGTGAGTGAGTGAGTGAGTGAGTGAGTGAGTGAGTGAGTGAGTGAGTGAGTGAGTGAGTGAGTGAGTGAGTGAGTGAGTGAGTGAGTGAGTGAGTGAGTGAGTGAGTGAGTGAGTGAGTGAGTGAGTGAGTGAGTGAGTGAGTGAGTGAGTGAGTGAGTGAGTGAGTGAGTGAGTGAGTGAGTGCGTGCGTGCGTGCGTGCGTGCGTGCGTGCGTGCGTGCGTGCGCGAGTGCGTGAGTGGGTAGTTTGGGGGGATGAGAAAGGGTGGGTGGGTACGGGGTGGGCGGGTGAGTGAGTGATGTCAGGGAGGCTCCACTTTGGGAAGGGGAGCTCGCTAAGAGAATGGCAAGAGAGAGTCGACAGGAACCGACAGGTTCTGGTAACCCGGCTAAGCCTGGAAAAGAACAAACATCGAATTGGTGGCTTGGACCCTTGGACGCTAAATTCCCATTCACTTTCAATCGGAAAAGGAACTATTCGGGCACTTCCGGGTATGTAAGGGCCAACTTACATACCCCAAATGGACATTCCACACCTATAGGCCTCATACAGGGATTGTATTTGGGGTATGCACCCTGTATAACCTATGTGTAGCCACTAACTTTGGGGGTATGTCCATTTGGGGTAAGTTGGCCCTTAGGTAGGACCCCAGCTCTGCGTATCAGTTTCTTCATTTCTTTTTTGGCTTAATTCTCCCGGCTCCTTCCCGGATCTCGAGAGATGTAACCTGCGTTCAATACGGTGGATGGACCTAGGCTGTCCTCAGATCCCCCGCTAAAAGTTTAATTTTTAGTGGGCTAAATGGAAAACCCCACTAAACACTAAAAAGCTAAAAAGCTAAGGGGATGGCTGGGAGCCACCAAGGGACGAAATCCATTTCGCAGCACTTTCAAACCATGGTTGAAACCAACGTCGGTTGCCATTTGCAGGCGAATCAAATCATTCCAGGGATCTTTAGCTGGTGAAATGGATTTCGCAACCATCCACAGTATGTCCTGGATCTCGTCCTTTGGGACATGGCACAGATGTGTTTGTAAAATAGCTAAAACCAGCACCATCCATATTCAAAACTGGCCTGCAGAAAAACACACACACACACACCTATGTGTATCATCTCTAATGGCACTGTTTTGCATGAACAGCTAACTGAAAACCAGCGCCATCCTTTTTTTCACCTTTACCGAAAGGGAGAAGGGGGGCGGGAGATCCATCCAAAACTCTCTCTTTCCAGTTCTCACGAAAGGAACACTTCTAGGGGTTGATTTCCCATTCTTTTCAGCCATCGTTCTTTTCGAAAACCGATCGCCATTTCCCCAGGGGTTTTGATAGTTTTCTGGAAAGATCCGGATCCCTGGAAAGAATAAACATGGAAGTTACCCCTAGAGCTTTGGCAGGGTTCCTCACCGGGACCCAAAATGTTCCTCACTGGTGTCAGAAAGCTTTGCTGCCTAGCATGGGCAGCTTTGAGTGCCCCTTGTCGGGCTTGCTGTAACACGGCGAAAACCACAGGCAAAGCTGCAATCAAGGGGCTTCCCCTAGAACAATGGAACCATAAATCTGTGAATGTCAGGTCGCCACTGCAGGTTTGGTGAGGCTCGTAGGTTCTTGGGATCCCTTTCAGGTTTTGGAGTTGTAGAAAGTGCAGATCGAGTTAATGTCGACCCCATATGGCTGTGGGTCAAAAATAGGTACCTAGAATGGAAATCTGGAAAATGGAAGCATGGACTAAAACCTGCGGTCCTCTAGTGGTTTAAGTTTGACCCATACCCATATTAATCGACCACGGTTCATTCATGGGGTGACCCTGGGTTTAGTGGGGGATCAAACCACTTTTGGAGGGCCCGACCCCTATTAACAAACTGGGGTTGATTAATATGGGATCAACATTAAGAGGCAACCCAATCAACACATTGTAAATGAATGATCTCCGTGATTCACCATGCCCTGTGTGGTTTCTTCTTAGTGTGGCTCGGCTCAATCCTGCTTAAAGTGGTCTGTGGCGGATGGACGAAATCGGCGGTCAGATATTGGTTCGGCCCGGGGTTCTACAGGATGAGGCAATGTTTGAGCAGCCATCTAGAAAACGGCGTGGATTTGCTTTATTTTTTCTTTGTGGATTTCACCTGTCCTTCCCCCTGTAGGTTCTTTTTTAGTACCTTTTAGTACTCGTTTAACATCCTACAGGGGTGGATCCACAAAAAACGCATCTCGTTTCCGAGAACCAAGGGCATATAGGCGGGACTCGACCTGTATGTTTATTCCGATGTGGCTAGGTCCAAATCAACAACATGTCCAGGACTTGTGCTTCTCAGAGTGGTCAACAGGGCATATCTCTAAGGGTTGATTCCCCATTCTTTTCAACCATCGTTCTTTTCAAAAACCGGCCGTTTCGCTGGGTTTCCGGAGGTTTTCTAGAAAGATCCGGATCCCTGGAAAGAATGGAAATGGAAGGTAGCATTAGAATGTCCTCCTCTCTCTCTCACCGGAATGCACCGGACTGAAATGTCCGAAGGTTTCCACTCAAATGGTCTCCCACTAAGTCCTCCAGTAGAGAGGATACAATAAGGGCACCATTTTTCTGTAGTCTATTTTAGCAGGGGAACTCTCCCCCAAAAAAGGGGAGAGAAGGGCACTATTGGTGTTGCCTTGACATGCTCCGAATGACCCAAGTTGTGGTACGAGAAAACCGTGGGTCCAAAAGCAACTCCGACCCCTCGAAATCGCGAACGCATCAACTTATTTTTCACTCGTGTACCTTGAGTCTCTCCATGAGGGGGGGAACTCTTGACAGGAGTTGGCCTTTTAAAGGTCGAAAAAGACCCGAGTGGGTCAGGAGCCAGCATTTGTCTTTCTTTGGTTTCCCGTAGCCCTCCATTTGCTTGTTCCTGCAAATGGACATGTTATGTCCAGTGCACTAGATCCCCCCTCTGGCTCCCCTGGTTCCCCTTAGCCCGACCAAAAAGGAAATTCGTTCAAAGACGAGGCAGGTGACCAGTTGCTAGGTCCTCCAGTAGAGAGGTTAGAAGAAGTTGGTACCCGTTGTTTTTGTTTTTTGTCTATTTTAGTAGGGGAACCCTCCCAACAAAAAAAGTTGGGTAAAAAAGGGCACGACTGGGGGACCTAGGTTGGGTCACCCTGTCGTCCTTGTCATGGCACATGAAGCTGTCCCCGAAGTCCACGAACACTGAGGCCGCGAGCCTCACTGCGAACCGCGGAACCGCGGCTCGGGGCTCCACTGCTCCGAGCGGAGCAGTAAGACGTGCGGGTAATGTTGCTTTTGGACCCACGGTTTTCTCGTACCACAACTTGGGTCATCTGGAGCATGTCAATATGACCCAGAGGCAACACCTGAAAGGCGCCGGAAGAGAGCTCTTCCGAGTGGCAGGTCATCAAACTTTTGGGGAGGCCATTGTAATGTTAACCCTGGATTTAGCAGAACCCCTGGTTGACTTTGATTGGGGGGTGTCCAATTTGGTTTCGTGGGGATTCAGACCACTGTTGGAGGGAACACCCCCCTAATAATGGGACGGGTTTATGAAGTTTATGAATCCTGGGTCAACATTTCTCAGCAGGGAATGAGGGAATGACCCCTATAAACAAACCCGTCCTGTACGGAGATCCCTAGGTTCATTCCCAGCACCCTGAGATATTCCCTAAGCAACAGCAAGAAAAAATGGAGGTGTGTTGCTTTCAACCAGGTCCCGGCAAAGGAACCCTTTTCGAGTTCGACGACTGTCAGTGGGGAACCCATATATATATATATATGTATCACATGTATATATATATATATAATACATATACATATGTGTATATATATTTTATGTATACTCAACAGGGCACAGAGCAAGTTCAGGCAAAGGTCCCCTATGTCAACTTTCAGATACCCTCCCACCAATATCCTCCTTTGGAAGGCCACCCATCCGCTCGGAAAGGAAGCAAAGCGTGCACCTAGCCATTGGTGGGAGGGAATTGTAAATCCCGTGAGATTTGTTAAAACCTATACCCCTGTGGAAAAAAACAACTACTTTCCTCTTAGAAAGGGCCTTTTTGCACTTCCATGTTAGTTGGTGGCAACTGGATATACAGAAGTTTAGTTTGCATATATATATATAACTGTATGACTGTTTTTTTCCTCACTTCAAGGGTTAAACATGTGGACATGCCTTTGACCTTTGGCTTCATGTCGCTGAGTTGCTGGGTACCCGTATATATCAGATCATGTTCCAGACTGCCTTGGGGTCCGAAAGAGAAAAGCCCTTTGGCAGTGAAGGGTCCTGGCTATAGCGCCATGACAGAAAAACTGAAAAAGAAGAAGAAAAAAACAAAGACCCGTCCAGAGTCGAAGTCATGCAGTACTCGAAGCAATCCATGATGGGAAGATGGTAAAGAAGGCCGCTCTGAATGTGAAGACCGGCATTCCCACATCCTGTACTTTGGTAATTGTATCGGGCACTATGCACCTCAAATTGTCCTACTCTCAGACTCACGCTTCGAGGTGTTCGCGTCAGTTTTAAAAAAGTCAGCAGTGTCGCGTGGGACTCGTTTTCTTGAGGGTACCCGTTTTAATCTTGGCTTCAAGGGAAACCAAAAGGAAAACCACCCACCCTTCTTTGATACCCACGTCGTCCAGAGTTCAGCCCCTTTCTCAAAATTGACACGGCGAAGCCGGCTCGGACGGGGACCCCACCCAAAGCAATCCGCGGCAATGAAGCCGACGGCTGGATTTCGAGCGCGGCAGAGCGCGTTGCACCTGATCAAAAATTTCGGACATCCCAAAAGGCCCAAGGCTTAACCGGTCTGATTTAGGATCCTGAAACTAGTTCCTGTGAAACAATCGGAACAGAGTTGTGGGGCGTGTTCAAACCAAACCTGGTCATGAGTGTGGCACACTAGTCGTATGCTTCGCCGAGCTTCGCGGATGCTTGTTCCACAAACATCTCTGACTTTTTCGCTCATGTAGTTGAATCAAGCTGAGTCCATGCGAAAGTCGCTGAAAGGGGACATGGCTGGGCCTCAAGGGAGCGGAGCATGGAAGTTGGACCGTGGTGGCTTCGCGGAGGCTTCGCGGGCTTCGCAGAGACTGCGCGAAAACGTTGCATCGCTTCTCGCAAAACCGGGCCTGAAACGCACAGGGCTCTTCCGGTCGTCTTTCTGTCGTCCTCCCATAATCTTCCGGCAGTCTGACGGTAATCTTCCTGTAGTCCAGTCATAGCCTTCTGACTCTAAACATCAACCTTTGGCTTGCTACTGTCATAAAAGCTATACAGAACAGACTTGCCATGAAAGCTCACAACACACTCCAACCACGAAGTGGCGAAGTGGCTTCGCAAAGTTGCTTCGCCTGTGTCAATGTTACCGGGCTACGCGCATTGGCTTCGCGGGGCTTCGCGGCAGACAATGTATCACACAAGTGCCTTCGCGGACCTTTTGGGAGTTCCCCACGAAGCTAAAATCCATCATCTGAGAAAAAGCGCTGCTCAAATGAGTAGAGGACAAAACCAAGTGGTTTCCGCCTTCTCTTTGTAGTCTGTTGACTCTGTCGTAGCTTCCCCCCATTTCGGACTCGCTGCCACAGCGTCGGCGTGGCGCATGGATCTTGCTGCGTGCGGGTGCGCGCGGGTTCTTGTCACGCTCCCTAAAACCATTGCAGGCAGAACCCTAAACCTACACAAGTTGGAAAAGGGCACGGAATAAGACTGTGACCATGTATGTATACCTATATATATATATGAATATATATATATATGCACTATGTATCTATCAACTTATACAAACATAATCTTTCAGTCGAAGCTCCGGGAAGACTGACATGCAATGCCGGATCTCTGAGTTGATGGTATACCAATCCAAAGAGAGGTTCTGGTTCCATGCTGCGCCTGGCTCAAGTGGTGCCCCCCCCCCCACTCGGGGTCCACTCGGGGGCTGAGCTGCCGCCAAAATTTTAAAGACGGGGAGGCTTTGACCCTATTCCACCCCAATACATATCCCTTGTACCTACCTTTTTAGTGTTAGCTCACCTGGGGTCATAGCTTGAAAAGGAGCCGTATTCAGCCCCAGGCTCCCTGATTCGGAGCCATGCTTTGGACATGAATCAACCAAACACTTTCTCGGACAAGAATCAACCAAAGGTCATTTCAGGTCGGCTTGCTTTGGGCAAGTGAGCATTGGCCGTGTTGACAGTTGTTCTGTCCTTGACTAACTCTAACTACATCCATGCCCCCATATTACCTGTCCTTTGCAACTTCTCTGCGCACCCCGTTGTTGCCTCCACTTGCTCAAGCGCCCTGAACATATACAGATGTTCAATGTGTAAACCGGGGAAAATAATTACCACATCATCTAAAGCAGGGCTGTGGGGAATGACCACTTCTGTGATACAACAGAAAGGGCCTAACCCCAAAGACTATTTTGTGCATATAAAGGGGAAATTCCCGAAGATATCACAGAAGTGGTTGGACTCACAACCCTGATCTAAAGCAAATGGAAGGCGTCGGATTCGGAGTTCGGAGAGCCGAAAAAGGACTCCTCTTGGCTTCCTCTGGTCTGAAAAAACTCATTTGCTTTTTCGCCTGGACAAAAATGAGCTTTTCAATGTGTCCAGTGAAGTGGATTCCCTTGAAAAAAACCACCGGGGAAAATAACGAATGGTCTTAAGCAAATGGAAGGAAATAGATCATCGCCGGATCAAACGAAAACCCCAAACGCTATGGATCGAGTTGGAGTTGGAGTTGTCCGAGATCGCAACTTCAAAACACGTCGGGGGACTCCTTCAGGCGAAAACCCGCCAGGCCCCCTCCCGGTCGCATTTAATCCATTCAGCCCAGACCCATGTCTTCTGGAAAGTCTCCATGGGCTTCTCAAAACTCGGGGACCCTTGTTGGAGAGGTTTTAAAGGGGAACCAAATCAAACCACCTTCTTAGAGGGGAGAAACACCCATATTGGCTGTGGCTCAAAAAACCGGTACCCAAAATGGAACCCTGGCAAGGGAAAACATGGACCAAAATCTGCGTAACCCCACCTGTTTAATTTGGAGCCACGCCTATTTAAAGCTTTGCCCCACTGAAATCCCGATGGCCAAGCATCCTTTCTGTGATGGATGGGTCATTCTCATGACAATGACATATCCCTCCATTTGCTTGCGTCCCCCAGAAAAAAATAGAAAAGCAAATCCCACATATGAACTTCAGCAATTGAACTATATTTCCTTGGCCACTCAAGAAACGTTGCCACCTACAACCCGTTTTCTTCCACAACCCTGGTCGAATCTGCAATTGTTTACCATGATTCCGCAAGATGAATTGAGAACGGATCCCCAAGTAAAGGAGCTATATTATATGGCTGTGGGTCAAAACCAATGGTACCATTTTGAGGTAGGTGCACCACCCATTGTAGTCTATTTTAGTGGGGATTGGGATGTTCACTGGGGGTACGGGATCTTGACCCATGGCCATATTTTACGGCTTTCGCTCGTTCACCCTTCGTGCGTTTGCTCCACTAGGTCCTCCAGATTTGAGAGGTTAGAATAATGTACCTTTTTTTTCTGTGGTCTATTTTAGGAGGGGAACCCTCGCCAAAAAAAGGGGTGAGAAAGGGCACCTAGCTGGGGGACGACCTAGTCTAGACTTGGCTGGAATTGGGGCCCCCGCAAAAACCTATATTTTTTGTATGGTGAGTGGAAAACAATGGGGATCCCAAACAAGCAAAAATCCAATAAGGGGAGCTAGTTCTGGGGAAGTAAAAACGGGCAGTCCTTAGTCAACTCTATCTCGCACCACTCCCAGCGCGAGTCGAGTCGAGCGGTCGACTCGCGCGAGTCGAGCTGTCGCGCGACTCGCCTGAGGAGCTCTGCTTGGCTCGTCTCCGTGAGCACCACCAATGAGAGGCCCTGAATCAGCTCCTCCGTGATGGGCCTCGCACAGCGACCCGAGTAGGGATGCCTCTGCCTCCATTTGTTTCTTCGTCGGGAAAATAATGAGAAAATATGTCCAGTAGTGAAATCGATTCCCTTTAAAACCAACAGTGTTTTTCTTGTTTTAAACTTAACCAAATGGGAAGTTTGGAAGTCACATCAACTGGTTCAACATGGGTTTGGCTTGAAGCCCGAAGAATAACAAATAAAAGACAAAAGCAAAAAAAACACACACACACACAAAAACACAGAAAACTGTGGTAGTACTGTAGATGATGGCATGCATCCAAAAACAAACCAAACAAAAGCAAACAAAACAGACATGTAGCAAAGGTCAGCTTTGCGCGGGGGTGCCATGTTCTTAACAAGGGCCCAATTCGCTGTTGCTCATGCTCGACCAAAAAGGGAGAACATGAACAAAACACATACACACAAAAGCAAAAAAGGAAAAATGAGCATGACCCACGAAGGGAAAGCGGGCCCCATTGTGGGTTCCATACCCTGTTTAAGACACGTCAAAGCCGCCAATTCCTAACCTAGAGTACCTAACTACCATTATTCGTCACTGTGGACTATGGAACCCCGAAGCAACCTTCATCACGGGACCTGAGCTGGCTTTACCCGCCATCACTGCCATAGTCAAGCTCTTGAATGTCGACTATGGTCGTGGTTCTCTTAATAGGACCCTTTGCAACGGTTGTCTACATTCCGTATCAACTTCCTGAGTTGGCCAAACAAGTATCCAAACGTGTTTGATTTGCGACTAAGATGGCAACCAAACCCAAGAAAGTGACTAAATCATTTAAAGTCCGAAACGGAACTCAGGTAGCGAGATACTGTCAAATGAGAACAAATAACAAGCTTGTTGGTTTGATTTTACAGGGACAAGCATCATCCCCGTCCTTTTTGGGTGTGTTGTTTTACCCAGTCGGAATTTCCAAAAAGGGAACCCTCACTTGCCCAAAGGACTTGGACATAACCGGTTCACCTTTTCGGACCTCTACTAAAAACGGGGGCAAACACTTGTAATCAAATGGTTCACCTTTTGGGACCTCTAAGAGACCCTGGTTTCGGATGATTGCCCTTCACATACCAACAAAGAATGGTTTCCCATGGTTTCCAAGTGGTGTGAACGGATTTGGTCCATCCACAGGATGTCCAGTAGTGAAATCGCTTCATCCGGTCGATTCCTCGGGGCTCGGGCCCTTTGTGCAGCTCAACCGCCACGTAGGGGTTCAGCCTCACTCGAATCGAGGCGAGCCATGCGCCGAGCCCAAGATTTTGTGGGTCCAGTACAGTTGGTACCCGACTTGTTTTTTTGTTTTTTCTCGCTCGTCTATTTTAGTAGGGGAACCCTCCCAACCAAAAAAGTGCTTGTAAAAGGGCACTAGCTGGAAGGCCTAGGATTCTGTGGGTCTGTCCGTTTTTTGGAGTTGCTACCCCCATGATTGTGGGTTTTGATGGGCCAAAAGGAAAACCACCTCTTTCTGTCTCTTTCTTTTTATTTTTTCGGGGGGGGTCCTCAAAAAAAGAGACACACCCCTATGTGATATTTAGTCAGGCTGTTAAAACAAAAAAACAAAAAACATATTGGAGGGGTACGCTTCTGGTGTGGCCGTCTTGAGATAGGTGGCACCGGCCCACTCCTGGGGCATATATTATGGGCTACATCCAACAAATACGCTCCGATTCTGTTTCATATGCAGTCAGCCTTAAACACTCCTATCGAAGGAGACGCCAGGAAAAGCTGGAAAACAGAACGAAGAAAAGGAAAAACAAGCCACATCAGAAAACAAACCGACGGATGCCAAGAACCAAGTTGCGCATTCGTTTCGAGCCACTTCCGGAAGGGTTGCTGTTGGAGATCTGCGGTCCTTGGGACAAGAGAGAAGATCCTCACTTCCGATCAAGTGGAATGGCCAAAAAGAATCCAAACTGCTTGTTTGCCACTAGAATACTAAAATGGTTCAAACCCAAAAAGTGCCTAAAGTCCAGGAAGTGAGGATTGCAGCTGGTCAAGCATTTGCAAGAAAGCCGTCCGTGCCATTGCACGAACGCATGGGATCTTCCGGACTGTGGGACGGACTTTGGCCGAGGAAGAGCAGAATCTGAATGGACGACTTCTCTTCAGTTGTTGAGCGACGATGCCTGGGGCGGGGTGCTCAAGCTATTTAACGGCAGCCCACTTTGACAAAACTGTCATTGTGCTGGGGCCTGGGGTCATACAGGTGGCCAAACAGAGCAAAGGTTTGTGGGGGACAGTCTGAAACATAGATACTTGTGGTTTCATCTTTGCGCCGTGCTTCTTTGCCATAGATGTTCAGTAGACATCGCTGGACTCCCAACCAATTTTGCTGAACACTCACCTGGACTCTCAGCCAAATGGTGAAATGTGGCAAGCATACCAAGAATGGTGTGCGACAACATCATCCGTTGTAGATTGGCTCCATTCACCCGGCGTTTCCCCTTTTCCGGGGGGGAAGGCGGGGCTGGTGGATGTAAGTTCACCCAATGTTCAGACCATCGCACTTGAAGGCAAGGACCGTGTCGGGGCTCCATGACAATGACAGTTCTCAAATCTAGGCTGGAATTAGGACCCCAGCAAAAATATGTATACATATATACATATATATATATATACATATATATATATAAATATATATATATATACATATATATATATATAGATATATTTGTATCAATATATCTGTTTTTGCCTGGTTAGTGGAAAACAAAGGGACCCCAAAAATTAAAAACAAAAACAAAAAGGGGAGCTAAATCTGGGGAAGAAATGGAGAAAAAGGAACCGTGTACCGGGAACAATGTGAACAAAAGCTTGACCTACACCCAGCGAGCCCCTGCGAAATACGCTGGGCACAAGCTACTTTCAGAAAAATGGGACACCGTTGGGAGACCTGGAAGAAGAGCTGAGAGCAGAAACAGCAAGAAGTCCAGGGGTTTGGACAGGACGCTTCTGCTCCCCGCAGTGCAGGGATCAACGAGAACTCATAAACCCCAGCCAGTGTGAGCCTCATTCGGGGTCTCACCTTGATTGGCCAAAAAAGGAACCAAACTTTGTATTTACCACTAAACTTGTCTTCCCCAACTTCCATTTGCTTCAGCCCCCTGGAAAAAATGGGAAAACACATCCAGGAGTGAAGTCGATTCCCTTTAAAACCAACAAGGGAACATGTTGTTGTTAAAAAAAAGAAAACAAAGAAGAACAACACATCCTAAGCAAATCGATGCCGAAAAAGACCTGGTCCAAATCCAACTTGTCTGGTTGAACTTTGGTGAGGCCCTCAAATCCCGAGTCCTCAAACTTGTTGTTTGTTCACCAAACTGGTCGTCCCCAACGAATCAAAGTCCAGGGAGGCCATGGCCTTCGGGCCTTATGGGGTACCCCGTATCCAGAAAGGCGGCAAACAAAGAAACCAGCATGGCCGTGTTTTTAGGGGACACCCTAAAATTATGGTTTTCCCTGTTGGTTCCCTTTAAAACCCCGAAACAAGGTGTACCGCCCAAACACAAACAGACCCATAGCCGCATGTTTCGGCTTGGGGAGTCGAATTCAGGCGCCCCGGCTCCGCCAGTCGAGCCTGACAGGCCTGATGAGAAGAGCAATGGGCAGAGTGGCTTGCACACTTGAGTCATCAAAACCTGGTACAAAAGTTGTGAATTCAGAACTATGCAAGGAATTAGAAAGGCGGCCCCAACCATTTTCGGCTGGGACTTCCCTCTGCTAATCTTCATCTACCCGGGTTTTGAGCAAGTAACTCATTTTGTTCACATGTGTGACTTTTAGTGGGTTACAGGGGTGATCAGGATTCGTGTGGGTGCAACAAGGTTATGGGTCCTTGGGCTTTGTTGGGGTTCCTTTCAGGCTTTAGAGAGCTGAGCCCGGCCAAATTTGCTCACCTGGAACCCTCATGACTCATGAAGCTACCCAAAGATCCAAACGGCAATAAAGTTTGGGGTTCAGTTGCCACCATTAAAACAATTGTTGGGTGAATAGTTCACCACCATTGTTTACCGTTCAGGATTCTCATCATCCAAACCTGGTCCTTGCCATTCTTTGAAAGGCAAGGGAACCCTAGGGCCAAAGCTTAACCTTTGAAGAGTCAGCAAACATGAAGCCTTTCCACGCCAACGGAACCTCATCTGAAAACCACAAAGTTTTGACACGGACCGAACCTTCCGGGAACTCTCTTCCCATCCCTGGTTGCAGGAACCTGCAATTGGGGAACCCCACAAAGCACCAAAACATTTGCGGGAACTTCTCTTTGGGGAAAAACACACACACACACACACACACACACACACACACACACACACACACACACCCACACCCACACCCACACCCACACCCACACCCACACCCACACCCACACCCGCACGCACGCACGCACGCACGCACGCACGCACGCACGCACGCACGCAACCACCCACGCACGCACGCACGCACGCACGCACGCACGCACGCACCCACACACACACAGCCTTGTGGGGTTCATGTTCATTTGCAAACGGGGAGTACGTTAATGACGTTCACAGGGAAGCAATAAGCCACCCCACTAGTCGTAGCCCAAGCAAGATCTAAACGCCAGCCTGAAACCTGGCAGGACGAGACCCGGATCCAACCGACCAGCCGCCAGCCCAAAGAAGGAATCCCTCAGGGCGATTGACTGAGGTATGCGTGGCCCAAAGCCCGGCGAACAAATCAAAAAGGCAGGAAAGAGGACAAACAAGTGAGTGAAAGAGTGTGGTTGTTGACAGCATTTCAAGAATGACTCAACAGTCGCTTAATCAACTCTTTAGTCTCATCAAGGAAGCAGGGTTTGGACAACAACTAACAACTGCTTTTCAGCTTGCATGACTGTTCCATGTTCATCAAACGAAACCACCCGTCTAAATAAAAAAGACATGCCATCCACTGCACAGTTCAACGGTGTAACGGCCTCTGCTCTGCTGCGACAGCCAACATCCTGCTCAGTGAGATAGAAGTTGGCACCCAAGTCTCTCCTGGGCCACCGTTGTGAGGAAACCAAGCGCCGCGCCCCTCCAGACTGAGAGCCCCTGCAAAAGTCACCTCTTTGCTGGCTGAAAAGGAAATCACAGGCAAGCCTAAAAGAGCTTGGATCGAAACCTAAGCACAAAGGGACACCAAAAGAAACCTCGAAGTTCTACCTTTGGCTCTCTGGTTCCCAGAAAAAAAAAGGCTTTCCCCAACAGCCACTCAGGGATTGGTCTTTCAGCACAGAGGAACCGAGCAAGCAAACCCTGCTTGACTTCTGCGTTGGGCAGCGCTGTGATTCAACGGGACCTCTTGTCGATGCAGCAAGTCTCATTCACCATCCAGGTCTAGGAAATATGGGAATCACTGGTGAATCATCATTTACGTTGTTCGTTGAGTCATGTCTGTGTGTTTGTGCCTATGCGTGTGTCTGCGTGTCTCTCGCTCTCTGTCTGTCTGTCTCTGTCTCTCTCTCTCTCTCTGTCTGTCTGTCTGTCTGTCTGTCTGTTCCTGTCTGTCTCTGTCTCTGTCTCTGTCTCTGTCTCTGTCTCTGTCTCTGTCTCTGTCTCGGTCTCTGTCTCTGTCTCTGTCTCTCTCTCTCTCTCTGTCGGTCTGTCTGTTCCTGTCTGTTCCTGTCTGTCTGTCTATCTGTCTGTCTGTCTGTCTCTGTCTGCCTGCCCTGTCTGTCTGTTTGCCTGTCTGTCTGTCTGGTCTGTTTTTGAGGTCGTGTTGAAGTGAACCCAAAAGGGAAGAACTCCTCTTGCCGAATTCGAAGCCCAACCAAGGCCTTGCTTAAAGCCTTACTTGAGCCCAGGCCGGTGCCGTTGAACCTTGCTTTTTGGGATCTTTCTTAAGGCTGGGGTAAAGGGTGCATTGACCATATGAAAAGCCGCAGGCAATCGCTTTCGCCTTCGCCTGAATTGCTGCTTTGGAGTCGTGCTTTGGGGGTTTGAACCCCTTCGAAGGGTTTAATTCGGGGAGCCACCCCA